AGATAAATTAATCACTGCAAAATTCCTAGCCTCTGGCCTGCTCTTGTAGCCACTGTAGTTAAATGGTGAGTCCACCAAGTTTCTGGTCAATGGTAAACCCAGAATGTGGATATTGGCCAATTTAGTGATAGTAACTTCATTGATTGTCAAGGAGAACTGAGTGGATTGTCTCTTGTTGGAGATGTTCATTGCCTGGCATTTGTATGGCATGAGCGTGTCTGCCCAAGCCTGGATACGTTCTATGTCTTACTGCACGCAGACATAGACAGCTTCAGTATCTGAGGAGTCATGAATGGTGCTGAACATTGTGTAATCATCGGCAAACTTCAGCCCTTGTAATGGAGGGAAGGTCGTTGGTGGAGCAGCTGAAGATGGTTGTGCCTAGGACTCTACCGAGGAACTCCTGCAGAGATGTACTGGAGCTGAGATGAGTGACCTCCAACAACCACAACCATTTTCTTATATACCAGATATGACTCTAAAACAGCAAAGAGGTTTCCCCCTGATTCTCACTGACTCCATTTTTGTTAGGGCTCCTTGATGCAATACTTGGTCAGATGTGGCCTCGATGGCAAGGGCAGTCACTCTCTCTTCACCTGTGGAATTCAGCTCTTTTTGATAAATTTGGTCATCAACAGTACTTACATAGCAATAATCTGCTCATCGAAGCTCAGTTTGGATACTATGTGGGATACCTTGCTCCTCACTGTGAAACTGACTGCAGGACTCTTCCCAGTCTGCCTCACTGCAACGCTGACTGCGGGATACTCTTCCCAAACCTGGAGGTATTACATTTAGATTCCTAGGAAGAAAAACCTGTTTATTTATAGTCTTGATTCCAGTCTGCCAACCAGTTCTCTATTTACATCAGCACATAACCTCAATTCAATGTGCTTTAGTTTTACATACACTGTACACCAAGATATAGATCAGTAATACATATCAGAAACAGCAAAGGTCCCATTGCTGATGGGAAAAAAAAAGCGAAAGACCTGCAGATGCTGTAAATCCGGAACAAAAACAGAAGTCGCTGGAAAAGCTCAGCAGGTCTGGCAGCATCAGCGAGGAAAATTCAGAGTTAACATTTCTGGACCTAAAACGTTAACTCTGATTTCTCTTCACAGCTGAGCTTTTCCAGCAACTTCTGTTTTTATCCCATTACTGGCGCCTGGTTTATGATTTCATAGAAACCCTACAGTGTGGAAGCAGGCTATTCGGCCCATCAAGTCCATACACACCCTCCGAAGAACAACCTACCCAGGCTCACCCCCTACCCTATCCCTGTAACCCTGCATTTCCCATGGCTAACCCACCTAGTGTGCAGATCCCTGGGCATGATGGACAATTTAGCAAGGCCAATCCACCTAACCCGCACATCTTTGGACTGTGGGAGGAAACTACAGCACCTGGAGGAAATCCATGCAGACACAGGAAGAACATGCAAACTCCACACAGTCACCTGAAGCTGGGATCGAAACACTGAACCATCGCACTGCCCTGGGCAATCAACTAAGAGTCACAGCTTACAGCAATTACTGAAGGAAAAGATTAATGAAAATTAGAATTAGGTTCATTGTCACATATGTACAGTAAAAAGTTTACAAGTAGTCGCCTTAGGTACAAAAGATACCTAGGATCTTAGTTACAGCGCAGAAAATAAGGAAAACACAGTTGAAAAGTTAAATATTACAGTCCTTATTACTAACAAGTGGAAAGACAAAGAAACACAGTTAACAGTTCAACACCACAGTCCATAAGCAGGACCATGCTGGGCTTGCACTCCTTACAAGGGCTCGACATTCCCTGCTTTGGGCAACTTCACCCGCTGCTGCCCCAGGGTGCTTGCTCTCGCCACTGTCCATCACAGGCTGCCTGGTCCCGCTCTCACCGCCTGCTCCCACTCTCACCACCGGCCGCCTCGAGCCGCCTGCTCCCGCCCTCACCGCCTGCTCCAGCTCTAACCGCCTGCTCCCGCTCTCGCCGCCGGCCACCTCGAGCTGCATGCTCCCGCTCTCGCCGCCTGCTCCCGCTCTCGCCGCCTGCCCCCTCGAGCTGCATGCTCCCGCTCTCGCCGCCTGCTCCCATTCTCGCTGCCGGCCGCCTCAAGCTGCCTGCTCCCACTCTCGCCGCCTGCCACCTCGAGCTGCCTGCTCCCGCTCTCGCTATCGGCTGCCTCAAGCTGCCTGCTCCCGCTCTCGCCGCCTGCTCCCGCTCTCGCCGCCTGCCACCTTCAGCTGCCTGCTCCCACTCTCGCCGCCGGCCACCTCGAGCTGCCTGCTCCCACTCTCGCCACCAGCCACCTCAATTACAGTGCGATAATGGATCTGCAGGCCTTGCTGAAGGTTTCGACCATGTAGCGCTCCACCAGGCTGGCCTTGCCCACTCCTCAGCTGCCAGGTTTTCTTCACATTTAAAGTAATTTTGATTGTAGAGAGCAAAGAGAGACCATTTCTGGGCTGGTAGAGATCAAATCTCTTCTCTGTAACTTGTTCCTAACTCCAAGATGCTCAGTTACCGGTCAATCAATCACACAGCTGTTGGCTGGCGAAAGCTCTTAGTCATCGACAACTGTTCAATAATCCACAGGCCAATTAACATTTTACACGGAAAGTGACATACTAAGTGGTTCCTTTCGTTTTATCATTTTCACAAAATGCAACCAAAATCATCCCATTTGGATTCTACAAAATACCATTAGTAATAATCCAGAAATTCAGAGTCAAACATTCGCTTCTGAAAGGAAGGATAACAAAGACATACTACTACAACTTTTTTAAGGATTTATTTATTAATATAAGAAACATCGGAGAAATGGATATATGAAATATGACCAGTACTGCAGCAATGATGAGATTTAAGAAAAACATTACTGTACAAAGCATCAAATATTGTATTCATATCATAACAATTTCAATTTAACTTTTGCATTTTACACGGTCCATTAAAGTGACATACTTTGGTTTTGATCTGCTCACTAAACACAGCTGATTTTGCTTATGTTTACTCTCTATTGCATCTTAGTTTAAAACATTTTATTTAACAGCTTAACTATCTGAAATAACATACTGTAACACGTTATAACAAATTTGCAGTTTGATAAGAAAGGAACAATCCCATTGCGGGTAAAATATTAAATGCCTTTTTCTATCCTGACTTCACGAATAATCTTAGCATAAAACTTATTTTTATTTATTAAATTGCTGAAAAATAACTGACAAAAATGTGTTCTTTCAAACTACCAAACTGCTAATGAAGACCCATTTTAAGCTGTGTTAAATACATTGAATATTGGTATTTGCTTTTGGCATTGAGCAATACAACAAACATTTTATATGTATTTGTTCCAACAATAAAAATGTATACAGCATGAGAAGAGAGCTGACTGGTCAGCATGGAGATGTAGCAAAAATTTTTAAATGTCAATCTTAATTAGCTGATTAAACACAGCCAAGACAGGTAGACTGAATTGTCAGGGCAATGCCATGGGAAATGTAGCAAGAATGCATCTCAACTGTATTGGAACTCACATACCACATGAATGATGATTTCATGAGGATAGTTTTGAAACATCCTCTCACAACATCTATTCATGAGCTTGTCAATAAGCTTGATCTTGCAGCAAATGGAACTGTTGGAATCGTAATGCATATATTGACCAATGAATGTAGGTTTGTAGCAGATACTAGCACCAAACCCATTGGCAATTTTCTCAGCCAACACATCAAGGAAAGGGTGCTCGTTTGACGCCCCCTTTTCAATGGTAAATCCAAGTGCAGAATGGAATTTAGTAAACTGAGCACAGAAATTCTTTGATGTAGCTGTGGATTCAAATATTGCAAATGTGTCACCGACTGTCGCAAGTGTTCAAGAGGTGGGAGATTAGTCATTATTCAATCAAAGGGATGCCTCTTGTGCTAATTGACAAAGAGATTGTCAGTAAGACCTGGGCCTAGAGAGGATTCCATGGCAAAACTTATCTATTTGGGCTACATGGTACAATTGAAACTGAACTCAACTACAGATCTATTGATGTTGATGAAAACATTCATGAGAGCAAAATGAAAATCTTCACCTGCATCTCTTGTCAGCAATGCTTGAGTTCTGTACTACCAAGCAATTATCAATAAAAAGTCATTTTTACCAGTGTGATTATTTTACCAAATGCTGCATTGTTCATTTACTGTGTATTTCAGAAATTGCAATATCCCTGTGCTGGGCTAAATATTTACACTAAAACAAAGGCAGAAATGTCATAACACTATAACACATTGAAGCAGAAGTTGGTCATTTGGCCCACTGAGTCTGCTCCACCATTCAACGAGATCATGGCTGATATGATGTCCTCAATTCCATTTTCCTGTCTTTTCTCCACAATCTATCATCCCCTTATTGATTAAAAAACTGTCGATCAGTTTTTGAGTATATTTAATGACCCAGCCTCGTCAACCTTCTGTGGTAAAGAATTCCACAAATTCACTGCCATCTGACAGAAGGCATTCCTCCTCATCTTTGTCATAACAAGGTGACCCGTTACTCTGAGTTTATGCTCTCTGGTCCCTACATGGTGAAGCCACTTTTAAAATACAATTCTGGTTGCCTTTCTATAGGAAGGACGTTGCTAAACTTGACAGGGTGCAGAAAAGCTTTACAAGGATGTTGCTGGGACTGGAGGGTTTGAATTATAGGGAGAGGCTGAAAAGGCCGGGGCTTTTTACTTGGATTGTCGGAGGCTGAGGGGTGCCCTTATAGAGGTTTATAAAATCATGATTGGCATGGATAGAGTGAATAGCCAAGGTCTTTTTCCTAGGGCGGGGGAGACCAAAACTAGAGGGCATAGGTTTAAGGTGAGAGGGGAAAGATTGCCTAACAAGCAACTTTTCACTCAGGAGGGTGGTGTGTGTATGGAATGAGCTGCCAGATGAAGTAGTGGAGGCTGGTACAATTACAACATTTAAAAGGCAACTGGACTGGTATATGAATAGGACAGGTTTAGAGGGACATGAACCAAATGCTGCCAAATGGGACTAGGTCAGATCAGTATGTCTGGTGAGTTTGGACAAGTTGAGCCAAAGGGTCTGTTTCTGTGCTGTATGAATCAATGGCTCCATAATTAGCAAAACAAAGATTTTCCTTTTTTTTAAAACTGTAATGCATAACAGTGTATCACTGCTCTTTACTCAGAAGAAACTACTTTCTAATTTACTCAATCCAGCACTAATTACAAAATACTGAATTTCAACATTGGGAATATAAACACTGATGGGGTACTTTCATCTTGAAGTTGAGACTTTAGTGTATCACACTAGGTGAAATATTTTTAGATCATAAGCACAGTACACCATGTATGTAACTAGTGCAATTTCTGCCAATCCATGACATGCCTTCTAGTCAATGCTGAATCAGAGAGCAACCTGCAGCTCCAGCACGGTTGGTTGTTATTTAATAATTTCTGGGGCTCACAAGGCATTCGCAAACCTCAAGTTTCACTTTCTTATGGTTTTATTTCAAGCACATTTAAATCAATCAGAGCATTATAACAGGTTTACTGATATGAGTGGGAAGGAATTGGTAATGTTGTAATATTCTACAGAATGTTGTGGTAGGTGGGTTGTTTTTACTTAAGAAAAATTAATAATAGTTGAATATTGCTCTGCAATTAGCAGCCTGTATACATTAAACATAACATAATAGACAAAAGATGCAAGGCAGTGAATTGTGTTCTATGCCTACTTTACAGATTATTTTAAATATGTCTGATCAAAAATATTAAAATTTATACAATTATACATATAGACATAGAAGTATATGGACGAATGCGCTACAGGCAGTGATGTTTTATACAATCGCCCTTCAACAGTTAAGGTTCAAAGCTCAAAAAACTGCTTGGTGTTGCATTGACATTTTGTACTTTTCAAAATACTTGTAAAAAAATATTGGTGTTATATCCTAGGCAACTGGATTGAGCAGATGGACCACAAAAATATTTTCAGATTCTGTACATTCTATTATATAGCACTACAAACTTGCAGGGAAAAAAAGCATACAAAACAGCTTATTCACAATATTAACCATATTCCGTCTAATATTCAAGCTCAACTTTGATTTCTGCTCCCAAACCTTTGCTTCACTTTTAAATTCCTCATTCCCTACATAAATTTAGTTTTGTAGGATGACCCCAAAGCAATGGCCTAGCAACTGTGAATATATAATAAAAAATGAAAAAATTGAGTAATAAATTGCAAAATGTGCACAAAATTGTTGCAATCAAATACTAGCAAAGTACCATGGATACAGAAACTCTGAAATAAGAACAGGTGCTGAAAACACATAGCAAGTTGGGTTATTGACCTGAAATATTTCTCTCTGCAGATGTTGCCTGATCTATGGACTTTGCATATTTGGCAATCTGATTAGTATTTCTTTGGTTAATTCATGTGAAGTAGGAAGTAAGTTATGGTCAGTTGCACAATGGTATTAATACAATTCAAGCTAGCCCAAATCATTCCACTTTAGCACCAGTTTGAAACAATTTTTTGTCTGCACCATGTAATTTCAAGAGGCAGCTTGTACCAATGCACGAATCAAAGTGAAAAATTCACTACTATTCTGTATTAGTGCAGATTCCTAATGATTCCGTACAAAATAAAAATATTTTCAGGTCTCATTGTTGCATGCATTAAGTAATTTTTGTAGTACTTTGTTCCTGTTTCAGATACACTTTTAAAAGTATTATTAAACAGCTGGGCCAAAGTATAGGAATTGCATGCTTCCCTCAAATAAGCAAAGTTCAAAGTTCAACACTATAGCATCATTGAGGTAAAATGCATGCAAGATGATAAATTACCCCACATTCCAGATGGCAACTTTCCCATCTTCTTTGCCAGCACTACTAATAACATATCTGTCTTCAATACTACACAGTGCTCGAACCATGTCTACATGAGCTACCAGTTCCTTTTCCACATTGCATGTGATTGTGTCTACCACATAGATTTTCCCTCTCACTTTGTCTGATCCTTTGCCTCCAATCCAGAGCTGAAAGAGATTTTTAAAAATCATATTATTAGTCAGCTATATTCCTTTCAACACAGTATTAACCAGTTTCAGCATAGTACTATTAGCAATGCCTAAACTCTATGCTTTATTGAAGAACTGTGATTTTGTTATACAATATTAAAGTTCACTTTTTTTGTAAGTAGAAATTTTCATGCAGAAAATAGTCAATAGTCAATCTTATCAATTGTTTTTGTATTTGAAACTGGAAAAAAGAAACATACTTCCACATAAGTCAAGGAAATCTAACACAGTTAAAAATATTTCTCTCCAAATAATGGGAAAAAACACTTGAATGCAAAGGGGCTAAAATTGGGATCCAGATGATATTTGACCACACAAAGGCCAGCTTAAGATATTTTCTAATCAACTTGTTCAGGTGTTATTACACACCACTGGGGCAGATAAGACTCAAACCCAGGCCTTCTGGCTCAGAGGTAAGGGGCAATCACAGTGCCACAAAAGCCCTCAATAGCCAACTTAAAGCAATACTATTAAACAAGCTGATAGAAGATAAATCAGCAAATGAAACCTTACCAACATAATAGCAACCCGTATGCACATGATCAAGGAACACACTGCTCAGACCACTGGAAGTTGAGAATATTTTATCTCAAAAGGGCAGTTATCTCTTTATGCTTCGAAATAAAGGTAAACCAACATGAATACAGATAGACTGGAGCAAGTCAGTCACTGATTCTGGTTAATGATGCTATTTGTCTTTGAGTGGGGTTAATGGAAGAGAAAATATTAATTGGAGAATCATTGGAATTCCAATGAGAGATTTGATTGATCCAAGAATCTACACTCAATGCTAAATTGAATGAAGATGGAGTTGAAAATCACTAGACAGATGAAGTTACCAAAAGAGCTTACAGAGTGTTTTGACAGGTATAGCTAAGACTGTATGCCAGCCTGTCAGAACAACACCCTGCAGTGTTTGGAACTGTCAGACAGGCAATACTCAATGCTTATGAGCTTGTGCCTGAAGTTTATCAATTGAAATTTATGATGACATGAGAGAAACCTAATTAGATAGTTGTGGATTTTTTTTACAGGAGAACGAAATATTTTGGGATCCATGGTTTAGATCACTTAAACTAGAGAAAAAAATTGAGAACGTAGGGGAAATTTTAACCATGGAAGAATTCAGAAATAGCATTCCTACGGATTTAAAAATTTGTTTAGATGAGCATTAGGTAGCATCAGAAAAGCGGTAATTCTGGCTGAACCTGTGATATTTCACAGAGACAATAACAAGTGGAGGTTCATCCGAGAGCTCCGAATTCATTTTGTTTAACAGGGGTCTGTGTCTATCTTGTCAAAGTAACAGAGTGGCTCTAGGTTCAAATTAGCTTTGCTGTGGTGAAATTTATTGCACACGGTTTGATGATGGCTTAGAAGTTATTAAGAGTTTTCTGGAAGTGGAAGATTTACAGTGGATTATTTACAACCTTTGACTAAAGCTAAGCTAAAGGAATTCAGCAGATATATTGAAGATACTTAAAATTAGGAGTTTGTCAGGATAGATATTTCCAGTGGTTATACCACATTTAGAATTGTTAGAAAGGAAACAGTTCAAAATAAAAACTGGACTTCTAGAAAGAGAAATGAAAAGACAGAGGAGAAAGAAAATTGGAGAACAATGGAAAGAGAGGAGAAAGAAAAGCAGAGAGAAATACAAAGAGATGAAATTAAGAAAACTTTAATTCCAGGTATAAAGTAGTTATAGAAAATGAGTTAGCCAAAGAAAAACTTAAAGAAGAACAAAGAGGTAGATAATTTGGATTATTCTATTTCAGATAAATTTCTTTTGCAACAAAAGTCTGATTTATTTTCAAGCAAAATCAATAGAATTGCCTGCTTATGTTTTAGCGAGGAACCACTTAGTTAAAAAAGAACAAATAGAACATTGTTTATCAAGACAGGTGCCCAAGTGGGACCTGATTTGTCCACATAACAATCTGCGGAGATCAAAACACAAGTTATTGCCAAACCAGGGCACAATATATGTTAGCAAAGGTCTGGTATGATTAACTTGGTGTGAATTCAGGCAGAGTTTTGGATGAGTTCAACTTAACAGACAGGAAATGGGCAGAAGACAGAGTAGCACATAAAGAGATGATTAAATCTTTCAGCTTTGTCTGTTAACACCAGCGCACGCAGGCTGTGCACCACTTAAATTCTCATGTAAATTTAAATAAGGGGTTGGGTAGACAGAGATCTGGCCGTGAATATGGAAGGGAGGAAGGCCCCCAAACCCTCCTTACTCCTCTCACTCTCCCTCGTGGATTCACTCACGCTTCAAATGCCCCGCTTCTCCTTATATCTCAAGTCACATCTCCTCGCTTTCCCCGTCCTCCTGCTTCCTCACTTCTTCCCCCCACTGACCCCCATTTCAATATTGCGCGTCTTCTCTGTGCATACGCAGTGCAGACTTTATGTATGACATCATTGAATTTTTACATGAAGACGCAATGGGTCTGGAATCATGCTCATTAGTGTCTCCGGAGTAGTGCACAAGTGCAGTTGCCCACAGCAGACAGTGCCAAATTTTTCATGATTGTTGCAGAAGGTTTTGTGTCTGTACAATTCTAGAGCCAGTTCTAATCAAAAATTCAGAGGATACTTGAGAATGTGACTTGCAAACCCTGGTGCAGGGTATTTGGCGCTTCCGCATTTAAAGATTTTTTTTGAAAAAAAAAAGAAAAATAAATTAAAATCATGAAGAAAAATAAAATCAATGGTAGAACGCAACAAGCATTACTTCTAACATCACTTAAGCAAATTTATTAAAAATTAATTTTAAAATCTAAAACACATGCACACATTACAGTCAATATGTATTAAATGAAAGAATTTGTAGAAAATAAATCTATTGAACTTTAAAATATTATTTAATTTGCTTTTTTTCAATAATTTGAACATGCTTGATAATTTCTTTTAACAGTCTGTAAAAACAACAATCATTTAAACCATGAAACAGTGGACTAATGATGAGAGCCAACTTTACCACCGGAGCTTTAAATCACTTGACCAGAATGAGTAAAGTGGTGAGAAAATCCCCAATATAGTTTTTGTTAGTTACTATGGGGAGAAAGTTGACACATTATGGTTGATAACAGTAGCTCTGATTAAGACTCAACAAGGTGGTACTGAGAAAAATGAACTGAAATGGTTTGAACTCCAATAACACTACCATGCACCATACATTTTCCATTCCTTAAATAAACTTGAAATTGAAGTTATGTAATTACCTGATTTTTAACACGTATCATACAATTAATGCTCTTGCAGGCCTGAAGCTGGATCTTTTGCATGGGTTTTGATAGATTCTTCATATCCCAAATACAAACTTCTCCTTTATCAGCACATGCTGTCACCAACTGATTTTCCTAAAGAGAAAATATACCAGCAAATTATTAAAAGGAGACAATATGTAGAACAGTCATTACTGGCTCATTCCACTTAAGGTTAATCTCAAAACACTTGTTCAAGACTACTGCTTCTGTTGCTACAAGCCCAGTAATTTAAAAAAATTGCATATAATATATATATAAAAAACACACATATATGTATATATAAAAATGCAGAAGTGTCCCTCCAACAAGCTGACTTGCTCAAAAATGATGCACTTTTCTCACAATTTCACTGCAGCAAATAGATGCCCATTTTCTTCAATTAAGTGTTTCTAATGCAGCCAAGTTTACGCAAAATCAGTACTATTAGCAGAGCTTCTTTTCTTATCATTAACAATATTCTTCATTTCTTTACTCAATGTTTAATGAACACAGATTTTTTTGTATAATAAGTAAATATTCTAGTTGAGTAAAATATGTAATGTGCTCTGGAAATTTAAAACAAAATCAGAAAATGTCAGAAATACTCTGCAGGTTCAGGCAGCAAATGTGGAGGAACAGTTAATGCTTCATGTCTGTGATCTTCCAACATGGGTGGAAACAGGGATGGAATCAGTAAGGATAAGAAATTTCTGCCAGGTGGCAAATTAGCAACACTCAGAAATCCACCATTTTAAACACCTGTTCCATCCTTCAGTAAATGAAGCTGGGTTCAGATATTCCCAGAGGGTTAATGGTTGTCTGGGCTCTCCACGAAGCCTCAATATGTCGTACAAAGCACTAGAGAAACCTAGAAACCCTGGCAGCAAATACGGAGAGAAAAACAGAGTTGATTTTCCAATTTCAACTGGACTTGAAATGTTAACTTTAGTTCTCCCACTTTCTCTCCCTCCAGAGATGCTGCTGGACCTGTTGTTTCTCTAGCACTTTCTGATTTTACCTCAAATCTCCAGCATCAGCAATATATTGTTTTTACTTTTGTTGTGTCAAAATTTAATTGTTTCAGCCTACCTCAGGAAAGGCAAGGAAACTGCTAAATTGGACATGACGCCCTTTTGGATTTTCCAATAACGTCACTCTTCGTAATAGTTGCCCATTTTTTTTCACTTCCAGCAGTGCGTCTCCTATACCTAATAGATTCAGGGCAGACAAGCTTGAAATACTAATACCATAGACAACGATTTAATTTGATTGAGCTTTTTGAGGGCATAACAGAGAGCAGTAATGGAGGCAAGGCAATTCATTATCATATGAGTCTCAAAAGGTATGAAGCAGGGCATCACCCAACAGGGTTAATAGCAAGGTTGAAGCCCATTGAATAAATGGGACAGTGGCAACATGCATTCTGAATTAGCTGTGTGATAGGAAACATTAGCCAGAAAAGAAAACAGTTTACCACTAGAGAAATTTATACAGCAGAGATCAAAAGCTGGGAAGTTATAATGAATCTTTAAACAACACTCGTTCAATCTCAACCAAGATCTTTAGACATCATATTTTAGAAGGGACCTGAAGGCTTTAGGGAGAATATTTTTAAAGAGAAGGCTGAAAGAGATTTGATAGATGTGTTCAAAATCATGAGGGACTTAGATTGAACAGATATGGAGAAATTGCTCGCATTGGTAGATGGATCAAGAACCAGAGGACACAGATTTAAAGTGATTGGGAAAAGAATCAATGGTAACATGAGAAAAACTTTTTTGTGTAGTGACAGTTTGAATCTGGTTTGTGATGGAGACAGGTTCAGCTGTGGTGTTTAAAACAGAATTGCATAAAACCTGAATGGAAAAGAAAACCTCGCTGGGATACACAGAAAGGGCCAGGAAGTGGAACTTCCTAAATTTCTCTGGCAGAGGATCAGCATCAAACTGATAAGTCAAATGGTGTCTTTCTATGTGACAACCGTTCCACAATTAAGTGAAAACTATGTAAGGTATCAAATATAAGGAAACATTCCACCATATAAACGATAGTCAAAAAAATGCAGAATGCAATTGTTAAATGAATTGGATTATTACAACTCTGAGGAAATATGTGATTTGTAATTAAATACTATGATCTTCTGTGTAATTTAAACAAATATATTATTTACATGCACAATTTGTCTTGATGTAAGACTTTGAGAAAGTTTAAAGAAAGTAAAAATATAGCTAATACTCACAACACCAGAGCATAGAATTGTGAAGTTTAATGGCAGTTAGCTTGTGGCAGTTGGACAACTGAAAATTAGTCTTTATCTCTAATGTGTGCACGTCCCAGCCAATGATTCTTCCATCTAGACTGCATGAATACACTTGCTTTTGACTAGAAATACAAAACCTTTATTATTTCATTACTTAACACAAACTAATCAAAAATGCTTACTCAAATATTACAGCATGCTGTATTAATTCATACATTATTCATATATTCTCTTCAAATATTGCAATTTCAAAGCTCTAAATCCAACTTCTAGACAATAAGAACATACTTGTTTTAGGTACAATACCTGAACTTTGAGCCCTTATCCTCCAAGACCATGTCAGTGACATCACTGAAATGTTCAGTCAGTTGCTTGTTGCAAGACATGCTATGAGTATTGATAATGTAAATAGAGGAATCTTGTGAACCAACCCAAACTTGGCTGAACTCCACTGCCAACATACAGTTCTGAAAATAAATTAATAACAAAAGTGGCTAACTTTCAAGTAATAAAAGTATCAAGTTGTAACAATTCATAAAAGCTGTTAAACAGAAAGACAAGTCTCAGGGACTACATTTTGTTCTAAGTACTATCACATTTTATACCGCGATTTTTGGACTGTGATGAAAATTAATCAATTTTCTCATTTCTATATGATCAGTCAGGTCTCTCTCCCTGCTCAATTATTTGCAATTTTTTCAAACTATATTTCCCAGAGCCTGATAAGCTACATTGCACAGTATTTACGGAAGTGGCCCTAGAAATTGTGGATGCATAGGTGTCATCTTCCAAGATTTTATAGACTCTGTAACACTTACTATAGATTGGAGAGTAGCTAATGTAACCTTCCATTTAAAAAAGCAAGAGAGAAAAGCAGGAATTATGACAAGTCAGCCTGTTGTTGGTAGCAGGGAAAATGCTAGAGTCCATGATAAAAGATTTAATAACACACCTCTTGGAAAACAGTGACAGAATCAAACAGAGTCAGTATGGACTGACAAAAGACAAATCGCACTTGAAAAATCCACTGGAATGTTTTCAAGGATGTAACTAGTAGAGTTGATGAGAGACAACCAGTGGATATGGTTTATTTCAACTTTCAAAAGGCTTTCAACAAGTCCCATGTGAGATTAGTGTGTAATATTAAAGCACACGGGATTGAGGGTCATGTATTCTAGGTACCCATATGGAATAAGCTGCCAGTGGAAGTGGTTGAGGCGGGTACATTAACAACATTTAAAAGGCATTTGAATGAATACACGGATAGGAAAGGTTTAGAAGGATATGGGCCAAGTGCAGGGAAATGGATTAACGTGGATAGGCATTTTGGTTGGCATAGACCCGTTTGGGTCAAAGGGCCTGTCTCCATGCTGTAGGACTCTATGACTCTTTGACTTGTATTTGCAAGAGCACACGCTTCTGCAATGTTGATGGCAACAGTTTAGGTCACAAAGCCCAGCCATTGCTTTAATGTTTGCTCTGGAGGTTGGGTATCTCTGTGTAAGACGTTTGCTTTACTGCTCTGATCTGTAAGTTGTTTCTCCTAAAATTCAAAATCAGTCTACATTCATTCTGCTTCCACTGACAAGCAATATACTTCATTGACAAGGGATATGGTGATTAACTTTGTTCGTGAATAATAAATTGAGAATTTTGATGTGATTGGAAAGATTATACTTTGTGATATTTTTGGACATTAATCACTGAAAAACTTAAGTCAATTTTTACATAATGCACATGGAAAAAAACAAAAGTTTTTAAGCAAAACAAAATCGTGGAAACTTTCACGTAAGTTTATATAGTAACCTAATGCCTGTGGTAAACAGGAGCATCGTTCCATTAAATGTTAACATGATTAGTTATATAGAAAGTCAGAAACTGCACATTGTTGTGCATCAGCAATGTACTTGTCCAATATTTTTCATATTATACTTAATTTGCCTTCAATGTCCTCTCATATGTTTTAAAACATTTCAACTCACCAATTTCAAGCTTCCCACTTGAATACTGTGCTGCTGAATGGACCATGTTGTTGCATTAAAGAGCACTACTTTTCCTTCACTTAATGCGCACCATAATATTGGATTTGCATTTTCGTCTTCTTCTAGATGTGTTCGATGACCTAGCAGAGTGAAGTGTGTAATTTGTGATTTAGAACATGTAATTTTTCACAATGCAACATAAAACCATGGAAACTGATGGTCCTTCAAACCATAATAAACTCATTCAATTTTAGAAGGTCTGACACAAATGTAATTGTCCAGTTTTTTTTTTTGTTCAGCAACAAAATAGCAGCATACACTTCGAAGAATGATGTCCTCAAGGTGCTAGTACACATGTTCCCAAACTGTGGGTCACAATTCCCAGTGTGGCTGCAGGACAAGCAATTAGCATTACAAATGGCATGGTGGCTCAGCGGTTAACACTGCTGCCTCAGTGCCAGGGACCCAGATTTGATTCCAGCCTTGGGTGACTGTGTGTGCAGAGTTTGCACATTTTCCTCATGTCTTTGTGGGTTTCCTCCTACAGTCACAAAGATGTGCAGGTTAGGTGGATTGGCCATGCTAAATTGCCCCACAGTGTCCAAGAATGTGCAGACTAGGTGGATTAGCCATGTTAAATGCAGAGTTATGGGGATAGGGTGGGGGGGGAATTGGGATGCTTTTCAGAGGATTGGGGATTCTATGATTCTAGAGCTCTCCCTCCTCTGAGGATTCATGGGTGATGCGAAACATTCACTTTGGTATACCAGCCTTGGCATCAGCTCCAATGCCTGATGACGTGCAGGCAACTTTTTGTCTTGCCGAGGTGCAGTGAGCCACAGCCTAAAGAAATAAGCTCAGAGGCCTGATCGTTGTATTCAGCAGAGCATGCAAAAATGGCGGGGGAAAAGGAACTTTGTTGTTTGCTCTTCAAGCTCCTACCCCTATCACTGCCAACCCTTCTCACTGTCTTCAATGCCATTTCATCCCATCCCAGTCTGTGGTCACACCCAATTTCCCAGCATCAAAACAGGACTATAGTGGAGAAATAGATGACAGAAACACTGACCCAGAGAAACTGATGTGGAGGTGCTGGTGTTGGACTGGGGTGGACAAGGTCAGAAATCACATTTCTGACCCAGAGAAACTCTGGCACAGACTTCCTCTTTCCTGATGAAATGAGTGGCAATCCACAGGGATCTTCAGTGGTGCAATAGCAGTGATATTAGTAAGCAGGTTAATAGCTAATCACAGTGAAGTATCCTCACCAGAGACCAAACCAGGACGCCAAGCACTTTTAATTTGAAATTTAATGCAGCAAAATAAATTTGATTGGATTAAGATTTAACAAGGTGTAAACTTTTCAAATATATTTCAAGAGACAAACAGCCTAAGATTGGATTTTTGCATCAATTCATAGATTTCCTGTTAATTGCAGTCAAGGGGCCTGAAAAGAGGATAGAAGTTCACTAACAGCAACAGGTGAATTTATTCATACTACTCTGCAAGTGTGCAGTCAGTTTCATTGAAGTAATGACAACAAAAAGCTTTGCATCTCCATTACAATTTCAAAATCTAATCTATTAGCTCAACACACTTATGCAATATCTCATTACAAAATAATTGATTTATTTTTCTTACCTGGTGTATACAAAAGTGCATTCACAGCCTGAGGACTTGTTTGACCAGCAGAAGGATTTATTTTGTGTTTCAAAGTCTCTGAAGTTGTTTTAGGAAGCACTAGAAAAAATTCAAAGTACAACTGAAATTGGACACAGAAGTCTAATATCAGAAAATGGTCAATAAACAAATAATTAGTAAAACACAATGGAAAGACAAAAACATTGAATAATTTTTTTTTTGTTATTCATTCATGGGATTTAGTTATTGCTGGCTGGCCAGCATTTATTGCCCATTCCTAGTTGCCCTTGTGAAGGTGATGGTGAGCTGCCTCATTGAACCATAGCAGTCCATTTGGAGTAGGTACACTTACAATACCATAAGGGAGGGACTTCCAGAATTTTGACCCAGTGCCACTGAAGGAATGGTGATATATTTCCAAGTCAGGCTGGTGAGTGGCTTGCAGGGGAACTTGTAGGTGGTAGTGTTCCCATTAATCTGCTGTCCTTGTCCTTCTAGACGACAATGGTCATGGGTTTTTCAGGTGCTATCTCAGGAGCTTTAGTGAATTCCAAGTGTCAAGCATCTTGAGTGTTGTAGAGCTGCACTCTTCCAAGCAAGTGTAGAGTATTCCAAAACACTCCGGACTTCCACCTTATAGATGACTTACTTGCTGTAGGATTCTTAACCTCTGACCTGATCTTGTAGCCACAATGTTTGTATAGATGGTCCATAGTTCAGAACTTTAATAACTGTTCATGGACTGAATGAATCAACAGAAGATAAACTATAACACACAGCAATAACTCTGTCTGAAATAAACTGTTTAGGTACAAAGACAAGCTGTTACACAGAGACTCAAGAAATTAGCCATGTCTTGGTGAGACTACATAAACAAAACTGCTTTGACACTTGCTTGATAAACTGGATGCTTTATGGCCACAAAGGACAAGGATTGCCCTGCAAAAGAATTTAAGGAGTTAACCACAGGAAAGCTACGGCTTCAAACAGACTGTCAGTCAATGTCAAATGTAACAAGAAACAAAGAAATTATTTTTGATGAGGAAGCCAGCTGCAGTCTTGCAGTAACTTGGATGAAAGACTGTAAAGAAATCATTAGTATATCACCTCAGAGACCGAAGGATGAAAATCTGTATAAGAATCAAATAACAGAACAACACAACAACAGCAGAATTTTGAAGAACAACACTACTCAAAGATCGAACCCTGGACACCTCCGACCCCAGTGTCAGACCACTGTTGGTTGAAGTCCTGGCCAGATTTCACCATTAAATCGAGTAATAGCTTGCTGCCTCTCAGCCCATTTCTGGCCTAAACAATCTACATCTTGCTGCATTTCAACATGGACTGCTTCAGTATCTGAAGAGTGTTGAACAGTGTTGAACATTGTGCAATCATCATTGAACATTTCCACTTTTGACCATTTAATTAAGGGAAGGTCATTGATGAAGCAGTTGAAGATGTTTGGGCCTTGGACGCTACTTTGAAGAACTCCTGCACAGCTGAGATGATGGATTTCCAACAACCACAACTATCTTCCCTTGCACCAGATGTCTCCAACCTGTGGAAAGTTTTACCATTGACTATACTTTCTTAGGTCTCCTTGTTTCCACACTCAACAAATGTAGCATTGATGTCAAGGACAGACACTCTCACCTCACCTTTGAGTTTGAACACATGAGAACACAACATCCATTAACTACCCAGTCTCTGCATGTAGCAGCTGTGTGTTTCATTATTTTTTAAAAATTGGGCATCAGCCGTTTTCTTCAATTTAGGTCACAAAAATGTACACAATTTCCTCATGAATTTGAGTATACTGTACGTGAATAAAGAGGAGCCTGTCAACATACTAAAGTTGGTTTTCTGTAAGGCATTTCTATAAGCATGTCTTGAAAAGAATCCACACTACAGAACAGGAGGTGCTGGAGGTCAGCTAGATAAATCTCTGGGACCTGATCAAGTGTATCCCGGAATGTTGTTTTAAGCTAAGGAAAAAATTGCAGGGCCCCTAGCAAAGATATTTGTATCAGTGACAGCCAGAAATGAAATGCTGGAAGAGTGGAGGCTGGCTAACGCTGTGCCATTATTTACAACAGGCTGCAAGGAAAAGCCAGGGAACTACAAACCAGTGAGCCTAGCGTCAGTGGTGGGTAAATTGTTGGAGGGGAATTGTGGGTGGCACGATGGCTCTGTGGTGGGCAGCATGGTGGCTCAGTGGTTACCACTGCTGCCTCACAGCACCAGGGGCCTGGGTTCGATTCCAGCCTTGGGCAACTGTCTGTGTGGAGTTTGCATATTCTCCCCGTGTCTGCGTGGGTTTCCTCCAGGTGCTCCGGTTTCCTCCCACAGTTCAAAGATGTGCAGGCTAGGTGGATTGGCCATGCTGAATTGCCTATAGTGTTCAGGGATGTGCAGATAGGGTGGGTTATAGGGGGATGGGTCTGGGTGGGATGTGGACTTGTTGGGCCAAAGGGCCTGCTTCTACACTGTAGTGATTCTATGGGATTCTGAGAGACAGGATCTACATGTATTTGGAAAGGCAAGAACTGATTAGGGATCGTCAGCATGGCTTTGTGCGTAGGAAATCATGTCTCACAAATTTGATTGAGTTTTTTTTGAAGAGATGACCAAGATGATAAGGCAGAGCAATAGATGTTGTCTACATGGATTATAGTGAAGCCTTTCTCAAGGTTTTGCATGTTAGATTGATTGGTGAGGTTAGATCACATGGAATCCAGCTAGCCAACTGGATACAAAATTGGCTTGATGGTAGATAACAGAGGGTGGTGGCAGAGATTTGTTGCTCAGACTGGAGGCCTGTGACCAGTGGTGTGCCACAAGGATCGGTGCTGGGTCCACTGTTATTCACAATTTATATAAAAAATTTAGATGAGAACATAGGAGGCATGGCTAGCATGAATGACACCAAAATTGATGGTGTGGTGGACAGTAAAGAAGGTTATCAAAGACTACAGTAGGATCTTGATCAGCTGGGCCAGTGGACCAAGGAATGGCAGATGGAGTTTAATTCAGATAAATGTGAGATGTTGCATTTTGAAAAGACAAACCAGGGCAGATCTTAGGGTTAATGGTAGGGCCTTGAGGAGTATTGTCAAACAATGAGACATATGGTTCCTTGATAGTGGCGTCACAGGTACACAATGAAGAAGGTGTTTAGCACATTTGCCTTCATTGGTCAGAGCACTGAGTACAGGAGCTGGGATGTCATGTTACAGCTGTACAAGACATTGGTCAGGCCACATTTGGAGTCCTGTGTACAATTCTGGTCACCCTACTATTGGAAGGATGTTATTAAACTGGAAAGTGTGCAAAAAAGATCTACAAGGTTGTTACCAAGACTGGAAGGTTAGAGTTATAAGGAGAGGCTAGATAGGCTGGGACTTTCTTCCCTGGAGCGTAAGAGGCTGGCGGGGGTGACCTTATAGTGGTTTATAAAATCATGAGGGGCATAGATAAGGTAAATAGCCAAGGTCTTTTCTCAAAGGTAGGGGAGTCCAAAACTAGAGAGCATAGGTTTAAGGTTAGAGGGGAAAGACTGAAGAGTGACCTGAAGGGCAACTTTTTCAGAGGGTGATGCGTACATGGAATAAGCTGCCACAGACATTGGTAGAAGTGAGTACAATTACAACATTTAAAAGACATTAGGACAGGTATATGGATAGGAAAAGTTTAGAAGGATATAGGCCAAACGCAGGAAAAAGGGACAGTTCAGTTTAGGAAACATGGTCAGCATGAACACTTGGGCTAAAGGGCCTTTCTGTATGACTCTATGACTCTAAATTATCGTTGGCTGCATTTTTATATTCATGTTTAAGTTGCAATTAGCAATTAATATTGACACAATATGTAAACAAGATAATTGTAAAAGTCAGTAAAAATAATAAAAATCTATCCTTATTCTTACCCATATTTTTCATTTGGTCAAAATAAGCCAATTTGGAAGCTGCATAAATAGCTCGAGGAGACTGCATGCATCCAACCACAGCATCCATTAACAGAACATTGGTTAGTGCTTGCTGAATGTACTGTGGGTCCTAAAAAAGAAGTTAAGAAAACACCACTGGCAAATTAGAAACATATGCATGTCTTGAACATGTTGAGACAATACTGGCTTCCACAATAATTCATTAGATTTTAGCAATAAGGATGGTCAAAGTTGCAAGATCTTAGGAAAAAAAAAAATCAGTCTGGAATCTATGGATGGAATTTTCCATCGGCTCAAACAGTGTGGGGAATGCGAGAAGGTTGGGAATAAATGGAAAAACTCAGATTCCTGATATCAAGAAAAGAATTTCCAATTTTCCCCTACAGATTCAAATAACGAGCTCAGCGTCTCGATAAGGGCCTGGGATTTTTTTATTTCCATGCATTTGATTCTCATTATTATCTAATCTTGCCTTGTTCTATGCAGCTCTTGATTCTCCCCTCCTTTCTTGAGGAAGGAGATGACATCAATTCCCAACATGATATTCACAGCAGTTACCTGGCAGCAGTGGCTCGCTGCTTATTGTCCAGGTTTAATCTATCCTGATTACCATTTATCACCATCCTCCATGAATACCATATCCTACCCTTCATCCATGCCAAACCAGCAGGCTCACCACATCATCATGGCTGTTTTCAGACTTCAATAAGCCCTCTCTGACTTACATTGTCTTTTTTAAGTGCAGAGGGAGTGACAGGCAGCCTGTCACAGCTCAGAATACTGAACAATCAAGGGGTTGACAACATATGCCAGCAGCTTATGTGGTAAACATTGAAAATTAAAGGGGTCTAGTCCTTAATGGAGTGAAGGGAGTTTACAGTCAGTCCGGGGGTACGTTCAAACAAAGGGCTTATCACAGTTCAGTCTATCTAACCTCCACCCCTACATTATACTATCATCCATATGCCTATCTAACAGCCGCTTAAATGTCCCTAATGAGGCTGACTTCACTACCCTCTCCGGCAATGCATTCTACGCCCCTACCACTCTCTGAGTAAAGAACCTACCTCTGACGTCTCCCCTGTATCTACTTCCACTCACTTTAAAACTATGCCCCCTCGTAATAGCTACCTCCACCCTAGGAAAAAGTCTCTGGCTGTCTACTCTATCTATACCTCTGATCATTTTGTACACCTCTATCAAGTCATCTCTCATCCTTCGTCGTTGTAAAGAGAAAAGCCCTGGCTCTCTCAACCTTTCCTCGTAAGACCTTCCCTCCATTCCAGGCAACATCCTGGTAAATCTCCTCTGCACCTTTTCCAATGTTTCCACATCTTTCCTGTAGTGAGGCGACAGAACTGGACACAATACTCCAGATGTGGCTGAACCAGGCTTTTGTATAGCTGGAGCAATAACTTCACGGCTCTTGAACTGAATCCCTCTATTAATGAAAGCTAACACACCATACGCCTTTTTAACAACTCTATCCACCTGGGTGGCAGCTTACAGGGAACTGTGGACATGAACCCCAAGATCCCTCTGCTCCTCCACACTGCCAAGAATCTTTCCATTAACCCTGTATTCTGCTTTCAAGTTTGTCCTTTCAAAATGAATCACTTCACACTTTTCAGGGTTAAACTCCATCTGCCACTTCTCCGCCCAGCTCTGCATTCTATCAATGTCCCTTTGTAACCTAGAACAGCCCTCTGAGCTGTCCACAATGCGACCCACCTTCATATCGTCCACAAACTTGCTAATCCACCCTTCCACTCCTTCATCCAAATCATTTACAAAAATCACAAATAGAAGAGGACCCAGAACAGATCCTTGTGGTACACCACTCGTAACTGAGCACCATGTTGAATATTTTCCGTCCACTACCACCCTTTGTCTTCTAAGGGTCAGCCAATTCTGAATCCAATCTGCCACATTTCCCCCTATCCCATGCCTCCTTACCTTCTGCATGAGCCTACCATGGGGAACCTTATCAAATGCTTTACTTAAATTCATGTATACCACATCCACTGCTCCACCTTCATCAGAGGTGTTTGGTCACCTCTTCAAAGAATTCAATAAGGTTTGTGAGGCATGATCTACCCCTCACAAATCCATCTATCACGAATCAAACTGTGCCTTTCCAAGTGATCATATATCCTATCTCTCAGGGCCCTTTCCAATAATTTGCCCACCACTGATTTAAGACTAACTGGCCTGTAATTTCCGGGGTTATCCTTATTCCCTTTTTTGAACAAAGGAATGACATGTGCTTCTCTCCAATCTTCCGGCATTATACCCATGGACAGTGAGGACCGAAAGATCGTCGCCAAAGGCCCTCGATCTCTTCCCTCGCTTCCCATAGAATCCTTGGATAAATCCCATCAGGCCCGGGGGACTTATCTATCTTCAACTTCCTCAAAATTCCTGGCACATCTTCCTTACTAACAGCAACCTCCTCTAGCCTCCCAGCTTGATTCACACTATCCTCCTCTACAACTAGGTCCCTCTCAGTTGTGAATATCGAAGAAAAGTATTCATTTAGAACCTCTCCTACCTCTTTAGGCTCCGTGCACACATTCCCTTTACAATCCTTGATTGGCCCTACCCTTTCTCTGGTCATTCTCTTATTCCTCACAAACGTGTAAAAATCCTTAGAGTTTTCCTTGATCCTATCTTCCAAGGTTTTCTCATGCCCCCTTATAGCTCTCCTAAGCCCTTTCTTCAGCTCCTTCCTGGATAACTTGTATCCCTCTAGAGCCTTTTCCGTTCCTTGTTTCCTAAATCTTACATAAGCATCCTCCTTCCTCTTAACCAGTCGTTCGACCTCTCTTGAGAATCAAGGCTCCCTCACTCGACCGCATCTTCCCTGCCTGCTAGGGACAAACAGCAGGGACATGCAGTATGCATTCCTTAAACAATCTCCACATTTCAATAGTGCTCTTCCCTGACAGCATCTGTTCCCATTTTACGTTACCCAGTTCTTGCCTAAAAGAATTGTAATTACCCTTCCCCCAATTATAAACCTTACCCTGCTGTATGCACCTATCCCTTTCCATGACTATTGTAAAAGTAACAGAGTTATGATCGCCACCGCCAAAATGCTCTCCTACCAACAGGTCTAACACTTGGCCCAGTTCATTACCAAGCACCAAATCCGAAGTGGCCTCTCCTCGTGTTGGTCTATCTACATACTGTGTCAGGAATCCTTCCTGAACGCACTGGACAAAATCCTCTCCATCTGAACCATTACAACTAAAATGTTTCCAATCAATATTTGGAAAGTTGAAGTCACCCATGACTACAACCCTGTGACTTCTGCACCTTTCCAGTATCTGCCTCCCAATCCGCTCCTCCACTTCTCTGCAACTATTAGGGTCTGTAAAAAAAAACCCTAACAAAGTGACTGCTCCTTTCTTTTTCCGGACCTCAACCCAAACTGACTCTGTAGACAAATCATTCTCAAACTGCCTTTCAGTAGCTGCTATACTAGCCCTGACTAGCAATGCCACACACCCGCCTCTTTTTCCACCCTCCCTATTTCTTTTAAAGCATCTAAATCCTGGAACTTCCAACAACCATTCCTGTCCCTGAGTTCCCCAAGTTTCAGTAATGGCCACAACATCGTAGCTCCAAGTACTGACCCATGCTCTAAGTTCATCCGCCTTATTTCCGATACTTCTAGCATTGAAGCATACACACTTCAAACCATTCCTGTGTCCACAATTACACTCCATCGACCGCATTTCTTTATTAACAACCTTACTCCCTGTTGTGTCTGGTGGAAGGCTGAATACCTCATCCTCTGAATTACAAATCTGGTTCCCCACCCCCTGCCAATCTAGTTTAAACCATCCTGTATAGCTCAAGCAAACCTCCCTCCCAGGATATTTGTGCCCTTCTGGTTCAGGTGCAACCCATCCTTACTGTACAGGTCCCACCTTCCCCAGAATGTGCTCCAATTATCCACATAATGGAAGCCCTCCCTCCTACACCAGCCCTGTAGCCATGTGTTTAGCTGCACTCTCTCCCTATTTCTTACCTCGTTATCACGTGGCACTGGTAGTAATCCAGAGATAACTACCTTTTTTGTCCTGGACTTCAGCTTCCAACCTAACTTCCTGAACTCGTTTTTCACATTCTCTGTCCTTTTTCTACCTATGTCATTGGTACCGTTGCTCACCCTCCCCCTTAAGGATCTTGAAGGCACGATCCGAGACATCACGGACCCTGGCACCTGGGAGGCAACATACCATCTGTTCATCTCGTTCGCGTCCACAGAACCGCCTGTCTGTGCCTCTTACTATTGAATCCCCCACTACAACTGCTCTCCTATTCTGCCCCCCTCCCTTCTGTGCCACCGGGCCAGGCTCAGTGCCAGAGACCTGTCCACTATGGGCTTCCCCTGGTAGGTTCCCCCACCACCCCCAACAGTATCCAAAATGGTGTACTTATTATTGAGGAAAACGGCCACAGGGGATCCCTGCACTGTCTGTCTATTCCCTTTCCCCTTCCTGACAGTCACCCAGCTACCTTTCTCCTGTATCTTTGGGTATGACCACCTCCTTATAACTCCTCTCTATCACCCACTCAGCCTCCCGAATGATCCGGAGTTCATCCAGCTCCAGTTCCCTAGGATGTGGTTTTTGAGGAGCTGGAGTTGGGTGCACTTCTCGCAGGTGAAGTCAGAGTGGACACCAACAGTGACCCTTACCTCCCACATCCTGCAAGAGGAGCACGCAACTGCCCTAGCTTCCATTCCCTCTACTCGAGGTTTCCAGAAGAATTTAAAAAATGCCTTACCTTACCTTACTTTTTATTTTGGTTAGAGGAGGAGGATGTAGTGTAGTGTTTCAGGTTTAGCCAATGCTCGAATATATCAGTTCCTTCCTAGCTCGTGTTCTCTCCACACACGTGCCGCTGAAAACAAGAAGGCCTGCTGCACGAGGTAAGTTTTTTATCCAGGGAAAAAAACAACCTTACCTTCCCGTCAGCACTCTGGCTCGCGCTGCTGCTGCTGAAAACAAGAAGGCCGGCTGCACGAGGTAAGTTTTTATGCAGGAAAAAAAACTACCTTACCTTCCCATCGGCACTCTGGCTTGCGCTGCAAAGTTTGAAATTATCCACTCCACACCAAGTCTATGTTATTTACAGACATCAGGAAAAACAAGCATCCCAATATTGTCCTCTAGGTAACCTTCAAGTTTCCTTAATTGCACCTTTGTAATGTCGCACATCTCTGCCTTTTATCAGGATTTTCTACAACTGAAAACTTTATGCACATCTCCAAGTTCTGTCACCTCCAGATTTGATAACACCCATTCTTGGCAGTTTACTACCATTAAGCCTCCTTAACTTCTTGTTTGTTCAAAATATAGATGTTACCATCATTCTATGTATTTCTTTCTAATCGATAAGGACCACCAGTCATTTCTGGTCCACGTGTGTACCTCTTCAGTAGCACAATCAAGTTTATGATCAATATACTGATCTTTAAAGCCAGCTATAGTTTTTCACCTGCTGCTGCTAGGGACTCTTTTCTTAAAGAGCATTCAAATATGACTTTTGTTATTGCTCTGTCTTCTGCAAGAAAATACTGTAAAACAGAAATGCTGGAAAGAGGCCATGAAATCAGAGGTTAAAGATCATAAGCGAAAAGGTTAGAACTTCCAATAAGATTTCTGTTAAATGAAAGGACTTTGTATACCTGATGAATGGATTTTTATTATTTAAACGTCAAAAGATATTTAAATCATCACGTATTTCAAAACAAAAGTTTCAAACCTTGTGCTTATCGGCCATTTTTTTCCCAGCCCACATTTCCTTCACAATTAGCTGCCAAAGATCACGTTCATTCTTCAGGTTTCCAATAAATGGTTCCTTCCGAGTAGTTTTAATTTTAAGAGCTGGGATTCGAAGTGGGAAAAACATCACTGAAATGTTTTCAAGTTCCTAACAATTGAGAAGAAAAGTATCAACAATGAAAAAAAGATAAGATTCAACAAACCCATTCATAAGATTTGTTAAACAGGAAGGCCATGTTTCAGGCAGTACCTTCTGTTCCAAGTACCATCACATTTTCTACTGCAATTTTTGGACTGTGATGAAAATTAATCAGTTTTCTCACTTCTAGATGATCAGTCAGATCTCCATCCCTGCTCAATTATTCACAATGTTTCAAAACAATGTTTCCCAGGGCCTGATAATCTATATGCCACAATACTTATGGAAGTGGCTCTTTAAATACTGGATGCATTGGTGGTCATCTTCCAAGATGCTATTGACCCTTGCAGGAGAGGCTAGCTTCTACTTAAAAAGGGAGGTACAGAGAAAACCAGAAATATTTATAGACAAGTCAACCTGACGTTGGTAACAGGAAACTGCTAGAGTCCATTATAAAAGATTTAATAGCAGAACACCTGGCAAACAGTGGCAAAATTGTAGAGTTGGCATGGACATATAAAAGGGAACTCACACTTGGCAAATATACTGGAACTTTGAGGATGTAACTAGTAGAGTTAACGGGAGGGGGCCAGTGGATGTGGTTTATGGACTTTCAGAGGCTTTCAACAAAGTTCGACACAAGGTATTAGCATGTAAAATTAAAGTGCATGGGGGTAGTGTACTGACATTGATTAAAAAAAAGTTGGCAGACAGGAAACGAAGATTAGAAATAAAATGTTCATTTTCTAAAATGGTAGGTAGTGACAAGTGGGGTTCTGCAGGGAGCAGTCCTTGGACTTCAGCTGTTCACAATATATACTGATGATTTAGATGACAACCATACATAATATCTTCAAGTTTTCACATGACATAAAGCTGAGTAGAAGAATGAACTGTGAGGATACACAGATGTTTCAGTGTGATCTGGAAAGCTAAGTGAAGAGGCAAATGCACTACAGGTTAAGTATAATGTGGATAGAGATGTGAGGTTACCCACTTTGGTAGCAAAAATAATAAAACAGATGATCTGAAAGTCAATAGATTGGGAAAGAGATTTGGGTGTCCTTCTACATCAGTTTCTGAAAGTAAGCGCAGCAGGCAATGAAGAAGGCAAATGTTGTGTTGGTCTTCAAAGCAAGAGAACTTGGGTACAGTGCTGCAATTTTACAGGGTCTTAGTGAGACCATACGATGTACTGTGTGGTCCTCCTTATCTGAGGAAAGGTGTTCTAGCGTTGAAAGAAGTGCAAATGTTTACCAGATCAATTCCTGGGATAGCAGGACTGACATGGACAGAGACTGGATCAATTAGGGCTATAGGCACTGGAGTTTAGAAGAATGAGACAGGATCTCATAGAAACCTATAAAATCCTAGATAGTGAAAATGAAGGATGTTCCTGGTGTCTGGGGAGAACAGTCACAGTCTAAGAATATGAGGTACGCTATTTAGGACTGAGATGAGGAGAAGTTCCTTCACCCAGAGAGTAGTGAACTTGTGGAATTCTCTGCCACTCAAAGCGATTGAGGCCAAAACATTGAATGATTTCAAGGAGAAGTTAGATATATAGTTCTTAAGGATAAAGGGATCAATGGGTATGGGGAGAAAGCAAGAACAGGGTGTTGAGTTGAATGATTGGTCATGGTCATATTGAATGAGAAGTAGGCTTGAAGTGCTGCATGGCCTATTCTGCTCCTATTTTCTATATCTAAACTTTCCAGCTCAGTTATGTTTTGCCTAATGAAGATCAAAGGCTTGAAGATCAACTAAATATTAAGCATTTTTACTGCACATCTGGTGTTTTCCAACAATAGACCAATGCTTTTAATTTAAAAAGGTTTAACCAGATCATACAGCTAAAATATACACCATTCTTTCAGCAACCACTAATTATCTTTCTAGAACAAAGCTATTAATAACTGGTTAACGGTGATATGAGGAAAAACATGGACTTGTATAATTGGGCAGCAATCCTGCTTTGGTTGCCCACTTCAGGCTACTTGCATAGAACAAAGGATCATCTATACCGTTTTAAGGAGATAAAATAATTACAATCATTCAAGAAAGTATAAATTGCATGCACTCTTCTAAAGTATTACCAGTATCTCTCTAAATTTGGCAATCTCAACATAGCCAGGTCTACCCTCTGAAAGAAGAAACAGTCGCTTCTGTGTCAGTGCAATTTTGCCCACACCATAATTGGTTTTCACAGATGATGATAATTTATAGACACTTTCATTTTTGTCCAGGTGCTCTATCACTTCCAGAGGAAGGTTAACTTCTTGTGCCTCAGTCTCAGATTCCTTCCAGAAGTTGTAAAAATCTTTAAATGTCTCAGGATCGATCTGTTTCAAATGCCCTGCAATTGAAACAAAATGAAACTTTACTGCACAACTTGCATTAAAAACATATACCCTTTTCAAAGATCAGAATTTGCTTCTAAATGGAAATTAAAAGAAATCTTAATGGCAATGGTGATCTTTTAAAGCAGAAAATAAAATGTGCAAAATACTAACAAGTCAACATTTGTTTCTCTCTAATAACACCAAAACAACTATGAAAACAATCTTATTCTGCATATGAATTATTAGGAAATTTGGAAAGAAAACATAACGTCAGCTTTATCTAAGGTATGCATCCAGTAGAAAGCCTCATGTTTGGAAAATGAAGACATTCACCTCAGTAGTTTCACCAGCATTAATGGATATAGAATTGTGGGAAGCAGTGCTACGATTTCTTAGCATGAGCTACTAGAGGGGAATAATGAAATCCATAAAATTGACAAAAGAATTCATGAACTGATGTAGTTTTGAGTAAACTATCTTGCTGAATCATGAAATTTGCTGCATCATGCAAAGCTCATGCAGGGTCCACCCCATTGGCAAGGAGCAAATATTAGGTAAAGCCAAGAAACAGTTGAAGCTGCAAGCATTATTTATAATCTAGCAACATAAATCACCAACTATATTATACAATGTAGCAGGAGAACATTAGTCTTGTGCCTGATACTTCAAACAGCCATCCATGTGAGGCAAGGGGAGGGTAGGAAGAGTAGAGGGAAAGTCAGCATCAGGGATGGAATGTCAGGTACCAAGAGCCTTTAAACAAGGAACACCTCACCCCACCTCCAGGAAGCCACAGGCAACACATGCGTTTACTGGTGTTACTATCAAAATGCAATTCCTAAATTTACTACTGAATTTCTTAAATTGTTATTCATTGTCCAAAAGGACCTTAGATGACAGTAAGGCAGGGAGGTTGGTCCACCGGCTTTCCAACTGCAGATTAAATCAGTTAGAGGAGGGAAAACAATGTGGACCCATCAGCCACCCTCCCACCTGATTAACTATCCTCCACCACTAAAAACTCACCATACAGGAGGGAATTAACCTTCACTCCTTGTTTCTCATCTAAGAGTCTTAAATTCCCCTCAATATATGTTGCAAACTAGATTTGGCTCTTAACCTGCTTTTACACTGACAAACATGCCACTCTGCCCCTTGAGCATGCTCAGCCATTCAATACAATCATGGTTGATTTTATTATTCTACATTTCTGCCTATCCTTGATAAATTTTCACCGCCTTGTTTATCAAGAATCTACCTACCTCTGCTTTAAAAATATTTAAAGACTCTACTTCAATAGTCTTTGAAAAACAGAGTTCCAAATACTTAAGCCTTTGAGAGATAAAAAGTTCTTCTCAACTTTGTCTTAAATAGATGGTCCCTGATTTTTTACAGAGTGATCCCGAGTTCTGGATTCAGTCACAAGAGGAAACATCCTTTGCACATGCAACTTATCAATACCCCTCAGGATGCTATATGTTTCAACTAAGTCACCTCTTACTCTAAATTCCAGCACATGCAAGCCCAGTCTGTACCCAGGCATCAGTCTGCTTCCAATTCATTTACATTCATCCTTAAATAAGGAGACCAATACTGAACTCAGCAGCCCAGTAGTTTTATGTTTCTAGCTCATTTTCTCTTGTAATCTAATTGTTTTCCTTATTATTAATTGTTTGGTCACTCTTTTGATTTTGATATTCTGTTCAATCTTCTAAACTGCCATCCATCTTTGCACAATTATGTGATTTTTCTTTATGTGTGCAACTAACATTAATTTTTTTTTAGTTAATCCCAAATGCTAGGTCCTCCTTTTGGAACTTTTCTCTCTTGTTGGAATATATCTACTCCATGTATTTGGAAATAATAAACTTTAAATGATTGCCACTGCAACTGTATTATTTCTAACCAAATTTGCCAGTTCATTTTAACAAGCTCTGCTTTCATGTCGTCATAATTAGAATTAAAGTCTAAAAAAAATAATTTTGGATCCTTTCTTCTCTCCCTCAATCTGAACGTAAAATGCAATCATACGATTGCTGTTACCTAGCAGTGCATTAACTGTGAGATCATTAATTGATCCTATCTCCTTGCACAATAATTACTCTAGTTTTTTTTAAGCCAGTCCTTATAATTGAGATCACTTACCATCAGAAGTAAGCAATCATGTGTTATGCAACAAATTTCAATAAACAGATCTGTAGACATTTAGAACCATAAAATCATGAAGGCTATAGCATTTGTATGCTCGTTGTCTAATAAAAGATCTTGAAAGTACATGGCAGGGTAAATCCTAGAAAGCTATTTCTTCTCATGGGAAGATCAGAATGAGGAGTCACAGTTCAAGAATAAGAGATATCCATTTTAAAATGGAGCCTTGCAGAAATGTTTTCGCCCAGAGGTAGATAGCATGAAGGGTTCTCTTTGGAGAAAAGAGTGTATTATCCAATTTATTCAAGGCTGCTTTAACCTTTTTTTTTAAATAGTCAAGGGTTATAGGGCAGACTGGAAAGTGGGAGTTTAGACCACAACTAGTCAGTCATGACCTTATCAAATTGCAAATCAGGCTTTAAGTTGTAAGATTGTCTATTCCTGGTCTAGGTCTTTTGTTTCCCGTGCAGAACCAATAGAAATATCCATTGCATTGTATACTCGCCATTGCATATCTTCCTTGCTTCATACATTTATTTAACTTGCCCTACAAGTTACTATAAAGTATCCCATCACCCTTTCATAAAACGATTATTTCTCTTATTTTTGTCCTCACAGTGAGGACTGCAACTTAATAATACCATTTTCAGACCAGAAAAAAAATGGTCTTTATGAAAAGTGCTATTTTATAAAGGAATAAAGGCCAAACCAACAAAATTGGAATCAACTCGGTTCAAGTTAATGGTCAAGTTACCACTTGGATTTTAAAAATTCTTTTCTTCACACAAATAAACTATGAGTTATTGATATTGTGCAAAACTTGAACATTTTAACAACAGCTCGCATTTATAAAGCGATTTGTAGCACAGTAAAACTTTCCAAGGCACTTCACAGGAGCATTTTAAACAAAATTTGTCACCAAGGCACCAAAGGACAAGTGGGCAAAAGTTGGTCAAACAGATTGCTTTTTAAAAAGCATTCTAAAAGAAGACCAAGGCAGAGATATTTGGGGGAAGGAATTCCGGAGTTTGGGGCCCGGGCCACAGAAAGCACAGCTACCAAAGGTGGTGAAATTAAAATCAGGGTGGAAAAAGTGTTCAAAATTAACACTGCAACGAGGCTGCAAATTCTGTTCCAGTAGTTCAATTCTTGATTCCCAAAGCCTTTTCACCACATTTTAAGTAGTTTGATATCATCTGTTTGATCAGGACAACATTCATCATTTAAGATCCATTCTTTCAATATCAGTGCATTACGTGCATGCACAGCATAAACGTGTCAACTCTTTTCAGCAGCACCCTTTGATTGCACAACCTGAACTAACTAGAAGGTTAAGGGCGGTAAATGCATGGGAACAACATCTCACAATGAATATTATCACTCTCCTTCATAGTCACTTGGGCAAATTTCTCAAATTCGCTAATAGCATTACAAGTTTCATTTCACCAAAAGGGCTGCCGCAGTTTAAGACTGCATCTCACCACTACCTTAAGGGCCACCAAGAATAAGCAACAGATACATGCTTTGCAAGCAATGCTGATAAGAAAATGAAAGAATGCATTGTGAAGATATTACAGTCTATGCATGATAATGTTTGTTATAAAGTAAAAAGGCATCAAAATGGATGTTAAAGTTGTTAGTGTTTGGAGATGGCCCAGCATTACATTCTGCTTACCAGTCTCAGCCGATAAATAAAATACTGATCTTGAAACCGCTTTTGGTGTTGGCCATGGCCCCGAAGTCATATCACGATAATTAAAGCTGTTCTTTTCAGAACTGACTGAGGGAAAACAACAGAGGTGAAACTCGGAGAACAGCACATTTCTAGAAGTGGATGAAGGGTTACCCTCAACGTAGCTGTTGATTAGCGAATGCAAACAGAAGCTGTTCTGGATTCAACTCTTATAATATATTGATGCCAACATTTCCAAATCAGCACTTATTTAAGCAACTTAAATGAGTTAGGAACTGACATTAGTGAAGCATGACTGGAATGGGAGAAGAAATTTCCCCAGAAATGAAAGACAAGTAAACTTATCATTATTAGCCCAAAGTTTGCAGTTTAGAGTGAAGGGAAACCATTAACCGTTGCCTTGATTATGGAATAAATCAGACAATTTCTGGCTTCTGTCACATGGAAGATGCTCTTCATTTTGCCCTCCTCTTTGCTACAGCAGCACCTCACCAAGGATGTCAGCATTTATACCCATGAAGTGATCTGTCCACAAGCCCCTGAATTTACACTATTCCTTGCACTTTTATTGTTCTTTCCTTCAATTTTATATCTCTCATTTTGTTACTGTTGCTGCTTTCTTTGATAATTAGAGCTTTATACCCTTACCGATAGTATACTATGTTAAACAAAAAACTTTTTTTTATGTACAGCTCCACTGTTTGCCTATACTTTTATGCAATACCAGCTTTAACTGTCATTCTTCCCATGCCAATAAAGTTAGCCTGACTAAAATGTGGATTCTTGCCTGCCCTGAGCTTACATAAAAAGAAAGCTTTATTTGAAATGCTGGGTCTGAAACCTTAATTATCAAGGCATAGATGATATTATTATTATTAATAATAATAAAATATAACATTTTCACACTGCTAGGAATATGCGATTTTTAAAGGAACCGTTTAGGCATGTAAAACTTTTGAGTATAATAAAATAACGTGTCTCTACATTTCTGTTACATAAATTGTTCCTGCCAAGATATCCACTAGAATGACAGCAGATTATTATCACAGTGTTGGAAAACCAAAGGCATGAAATGGTCAGTTTAAAAACCTTCCAGACTTGATACCCACAACTTTCACAGTGGAAAAACTACCTGTTGACTTGGTTCATCTACAAACACACATGAAAACACCATCAGACCTATTAAGTTAGCTGTCTCAATGCACTGGTGCATCATTTACCATCCCCATATTACTCTAGCTAGTTTATCACAAAACTGCCCTCACACAAATGCAGAGGAAACCAGATATGCACCTACAAAGCTCCAGACAAATCTACCATTGATTCTAATTTTGGCTGGGGACCTGTTCTGAGTTATCCCTGTGTCCAGGCTAACATTTATCCCGCAAGCAACCTGTGAACCATTCAAGAGGCCATAATAAGACCATAAGATGCAGGAGCAGAAATAAGCCATTCTGCCCATCAAGTCTGCTCCACCATTCAATGAGATTATGACCGATCTGATAATCCTCAATTCCACCTCCTGCCTTTTCTCCATTACCCTTGATTCCATTACTCATTGAAAATCCATCCACTTCAGCCTTGAATTTACTTAAAAACCCAGACTCAACAATCACAGAATTTCAGATTCACCACCCTTTGACAGTAGAAATTTCTCCTCATCTCTATCTTAAATGGTGACTATTTATTGAGATTACAACTTCTGGTCCTAGACTCTTCCACAGGGGGAAATCAACCTCATCCACCACATCAAATCCTTTAAGAATCTTATCTGGTTCAATAAAGTCACCTCTCAGTCTTATAAACTTCACGCAGCACAGGTCCAATCTACAAAATCTCTCCTCTTAAGACACAGTGTCTCCAAACCCAGAATCAGTCTAGTGAACTTTCTCAGGACTGCCACTAATGCAGTAAATCTTCCCTTAAAAAAGGGCCCAAAACTGTTCACAGAATTTCAGTTGTGGTCTGACTAGTGCCTCGTATAGTTTTATACTCCATTCTTATTGAAATAAAGGCTAACATTCCATTTGCCTTCCCTATTACCTGCCAAACATATATGCTAGCTTTTTGCGATTTATGCATGAGAACCCCAAAATTTCACTGTTGTGTAGCTTTCTGCAGTCTTTTTCCACTTAAATAATATTCAGGTCCTCTATTCTTCCAGCCAAAATGCAAAATCTCACGTTTTATCAAATTATATTCCATCTGCCAAATTTTTTGCCATCTCACTTAACCCATCTATATCCCTCTGCAAAATCTGTATTATCCTCAACACTTATTTTTCCACCTATTATTGCGTCATCCGAAAAGTTGGGTATAATACATTCACTTTCCTCATTCAAGTAATCTATATCCATTAATAAATAATCATGGCCCCAGCACTGGTCCCTGCAGCATTCCAACAGTTGCAGGTTGCCATCTTGAAAATGACCCCTTTATTGCAATTCTGTCTTCTATTTGTTAGCCAATCTTCTAGACATGCTAATATATTACCTCCAACACCAAGGGATCTTAACTTATTAAGCAGCCTAATGTGGTAGCTTATAAAAGACCTTCTGAAAATATATTACATTCACTGGTTCCCCTTAATCTATCCTGTTTGCTACCTCATCAAAAGGATTCTAATAAATTTGTAAAACATGATTTCCACTTCATGAAGCTATGCTGATTCTGTTTGATCTTATTATGTATTTCTAAATGCTAACTGGCCTATATTTATCCTTTTAATTTTGTCTCCTTCCCTTTGTGAATAGAGATGTGCATTTGCAGTTTTCCAACCCTCTAGGTCTTTTCCAGAATCTAAGCATTCTTGAAAGATTACTACATTGTATCCACTATCTCTATTGTTACTTCTTTTAGCATCCTAGAATTTATCCCATCAGGTCCAGGGGACTTCAGTCTATAGCTCCATTAAGTTCCCTAGCATATTTTCTGCAGTGATAGTTATTGCATTTATTTCCCCTCCTCCATTTGCCCCTTGATTATGTAGTAATTTTGGAATTCTATTCATGTCTTCTCCTGTGAAAACTGCTGTAAATTTGTATTCAACTCCTCTGCCAGCTCCTAGTTCACCACTATTTCTCCTCTAGTCTTGTTCTCTAAAGGTAGAAACAGTATACGGAAGTATAGTGAGGGGGAGTGACACTGTTCTCTGAAACAGAGTGATAGCTCTGAACTCACTCATCTATCATGACAGTGTTCTGAGGAAGGGTCACCGGACCCGAAACGTTAACTCTGATTTTCTTTTCACAGATGCTGCCAGGCCTGCTGAGCTTTTCCAGCAACTTCTGTTCTTGTATCATGATAACTGAATCTTCTAAAATCAGTCGTCAACACAATTTCACTTTCATAAAACTTTGCTGACTCTACCTAATCATATAATGATTTTTCAGGTAGATAGGGTAGTGAAGAAGGCATTTGGCACAGTTGACTTCATAGGTCAGAGCACTGAGTACAGGAGTTGGGATGTCATGTTATGGCTGTACAAGACATTGGTAAGGTCACTTTTGGAGATCTCATAGAATCATAGAAACCCTACAGTGTGGAAACAGGCCATTCAGCCCAACAAGTCCAGAACGCCCCTCCGAAGAGCATCCCACCCAGACCCATTCCCCTACCCTATCCTTGCAACCCTGGATTTCCCATGTGTAATTTACCTAATTTACACACCACTGGGCACTACGGGCAATTTAGCATGGCCAAACCACCTAACCTTTGGACTGTGGGAAGAAACTGGAGCACCCGGAGGAAACCCACACAGACATGGGGAAAATGTGCAAACTCCACACAGACAGTCGCCTGAGTGTCGAATCAAACCCGGGTTCCTGGCGCTGTTAGGCAGCAGTGCTAACTACTGAGCCACCATGCCGCCCCAATTCTGATCACTTTGCTATAGGAAGGTCACTATTAAACTGGAAAGAGTACAAAAAAGATTCATAAGGATCTTACTGAAACTAGGGGGTTTGAGTTATAAGGAGAGGCTAGGTAGGCTGGGACTTTGTTCGTTGAAGTGTAGGAGGCTGAGAGCTGGCCTTACAGAGTTTTATGAAATCATGAGGGCCATAAATAAAGGTGAATAACTAAGGTCTTTTCCCCAATGTAAGGGAGTCCAAAACTAGAGGGCATAGGTTTAAAAAGTGAAAGGAGAAAGATTTAAATGGGACCTTAGAGGCAATGTTTGCACACAGAGGGTGGTGCATGTGTGGAATGAGCTGGAAGAGGAAGTGATAGAGTTGAGTACACCACCACATCTAAAAGACATCTGGACAGTTGCACGGAAGGGAAAGGTTTAGATGGATATTTGCCAAATTCAGGCAAATGAGACTAGTTTGTTTTAGGAAACCTGGTCTGAATGGATGAGTTGGGCTGAACAACCTGTTTCGGCACTGTGCGAGTCCAAACACACACTGTTTAATTGACAGAACCTAACCTAGAGGAAGTGCTGGGAATCAAGCAATATGGAGATGTAGCTGTTTGAACACAGGAACAGATCTCTGGATCTGAAGAATGCCAATGAGGTAAAGTTTGTAAAATCAGCTGTGCATCAGGGAAAACATTGCTTTATCAACAGCTCTTGCTCCGTGATCTCTTCTGACAATATTCATTTACAGAAGATAGAAATTTCAAGTACTTGCAGTTTATGTTATTCATACTTTACAGAGTCTGGATGACTTATATTTTTATGGAGATACAGCAAAAACAGTTTGTTTAATGTCTCAAGTTAAGGATAAAGAATATTTTCTTAAGGTTTTCAATATACACGGTTATATTGTTATTATAGGATTCATCAGTCATATAGTGTTTTACAGTGAATGGGCCATTGCTTGGCCTGAAGGGTACAAGGGTCCATGGGGTGGGGAATGTTAGGGGCATAGTTTGGCACGTGTGTCATTTGTAAGATCTTCTGAATGTACTTTTCAAAAGGTTCTCTCACCCAGAAAATGGTTCACGACAACTCAGGGGTGTCGTGAATCACAAAATATTTACATGTTGGCCCAACTCCATGAAAGTTGCCAAGGACTAGGATACAGCTATGCCTACAACGGAACCTGCCAGGTCAGGAGTCTAGCCCACACTCTGCATTGGTGAGTACTGGAGGCTACAGATTCAAGTCCTAGCCATCTTCACACCTTCAATAAGTCACTGTGACTATGAAAATCCAGCCCATTTAAAGTGTTAAAATTCCAATTTGTTAAAAACCACATCAAACACGCAAAATCTAAGACGTACGTTCAGATTCTTACTTAAAATTTTACCCATAACACTTCTAAAGCATCATTTCACATTTGACAAAAGCACTGTTAAAACTTCAATTAATGTTAAACTGTGTTTTAAATGTGTAACCATACGACCAACAGGTTCATCAAAACCAAGATCTCCCTCATAGCAACCCAGATACAATATAAATTTTTGCAATTTACAGTCCTTCCCAAAGAGGAAAATAGTTATTTTTACATGCATTAAACAAAGGGAGACATATAGAAACACCAAAGGAGAAAGGATAAGAGAGAGAAATCAAAAATGAGATTAAAATGTGAAATCAGGTGTTTGAAAAAAGACATTAATCTCAGCCCTTCAGTTTCATGCAGAGTGGTTAAGGTTAAAATTGCAAAGAAAAGATAACCTTTGAGCCTTTCCCAGCTCTCCACTCCTGTGCTGGCCATAAGATGTTTAACCAAGACACCTATTTGCATTCAATCCAGGAGTTGCAAAGATCTCTTACAAATGAGAGAGACCCTCCATTATCTTAATCCGAATTTATATGCAAGGAATACAATTGTAAGACACATAAATGTTCTAGTAACTTCTTCCTGAATCACATCCAGAATAATGTGTGTTATTCTACAAGTTAATCCCTTGTGAATTTTGTTTAAATTCATGGAAATAACATCATAAAAATTACTCCAAAATCTTATCAAGGTGAAACAAATATAGATTCATAATTGGATGATCCAGATAGGTTGCCAAATTTCATGATGGAATACAAAGTGCTAAAAATGTTATTTTACTCAATGGCCATACCCATTACAAAAATTTCTTGATCTTATCTGTTGAATTATTGATTAATTGAATCAGGGATCCTACTTGAAATCAAACATATTTTAACTGCCAAATAATACAGAATTAATTTGCATTGGGGTACCCAAAAAAAGGGGAACTTCAGTTCACTTTTTTTTTAAATCATGAGAAAATGTGGACAAGAGACACATTTATGTAAAATGCATCACTCACCAATCGTTAAGGCATCAAACAACCGAAGAATGGTGTCAACATCCTTCACAATTCCAGATTCCTGGATCCGTTTCATAAAATCCTCTTGATGCATGTGGGTTTTAGGGAGCTGAAAAGTTTTCACATGTTCATCAGATGTAGTCGCATCTCCTTCTTTCTCTAACATTATGCTAATAAGTCGCTTTAGTTCTGGCTTTCGGCTTGCATGTTTGCATTGATCTGGAGGCATTGCACCGATCACTTTCTTTACAAGTTCTTTGGGAAAGATATCACGATCAGTCTTATAAAGGCTCTGAAAATCTGAAAGTGCCTCTTGAAACTTTTCCTGCATCAAATAAGCCAACCCACGGAGATAGTAATATCTTGCCAGGAGGCTTGAGTTTTCCGTTCCTGTGGAATTTATGGCTCTGCTCAGCAAGTTGGCAAAATCTATATACCAGTCAATCACATTAGAATACATAACAGGGCTACTAAACTCTGGCAGCTTGAATCTTCTTACTGATTTCATGCTCCTTTTTAAAGCTGAAAGAAATACATTGTACATTGACTATAAATCATTCAACATGATGTCTATTCAGTATTTCTCATCTCAATGTATTTACTTTTGCAATGTATCCACTAATTACTTACATTCTCAAAATCGTTGAAAGGAGGGCTACTTAATTGAGAGGTACTCCAATCTGAGAAAATTGTTTCATTTCATTAAGCTATAACTTGAGACTACATGTATCTTAAATGCAGCAGCCTTATAAGACAATTCAACTTTTGCAGATATGCTGCATACGTTTCAACATACAGTAATAGCATTTTGCAATACAATATCATAGTTTCCAGCAAGGATAGTTGACAACTAGTCTCCCCCAGCAGCTGGCTTTTTAAAATCAAATTGGATTGGATTGATTTATTGTCATGTGTACCAAAATACAGTGAAAAGCTTTGTTTACGAACAGTACAGGAAGATCACTGCAGCAAAGGATGTACAGACCAAAAAGATTTAAAGGCATACAGGTTACATTGCAGGTTACATTATTTGAGGATAGAGTCCATTCAACAGTCTGATAACAGTCAGAAAGAAACTGTTCCTGATCCTGCTTGTGCCTGTGTTCAGGCTTCTGTATCTTCTGCCTGACGGAAGAGGCTGTGGGAGGTCATTACCAGGGTTGCAATTTACAGTCCTTCCCAAAGAGGAAAATAGTTATTTTTACATGCATTAAACAAAGGGAGACATATAGAAACACCAAAGGAGAAAGGATAAGAGAGAGAAATCAAAAATGAGATTAAAATGTGAAATCAGATGTTTAAAAAAAGACATTAATCTCAGCCCTTCAGTTTCATGCAGAGTGGTTAAGGTTAAAATTGCAAAGAAAAGATAACCTTTGAGTCTTTCCCAGCTCTCCACTCCTGTGCTGGCCACAAGATGTTTAACCAAGATACCTATTTGCATTCAATCCAGGAGTTGCAAAGATCTCTTACAAATGAGAGAGACCCTCCATTGTCTTAATTTAACCTTATATGCAAGGAATACAATGGTAAGACATATAAATGCTCTAGTAACTTCTTCCTGAATCAAATCCGGAATAATTTGTGTTATTCTACAGGGTGCTTTTTTCTTCTTTATTCATTCACGGGATGAGGGTGTCGCTGGCTAGGCCAGCATTTATTCCCCATCCCTAATTGCCACAGGGTAGTTATGAGTCAACAACATTGCTCTGGGTCTGGAGTCACATGTAGGCCAAACCAGATAAGGATGGCAGTTTCCTACCCTAAAGGACATTAGTGAACCAGATGGGTTTTTCCTGACAATCGGCAATGGATTCATGGTCATCATTAGACGCTTAATTCCAGATATTTATTGAATTCAAATTCCACCATCTGCCGTGGCAGGAGTCGAACCTATGCCCCCGGAACATTACCTAGGTCTCTGGGTTAACAGTCTAGTGATAATACCACTAGGCCAATGCAATGGGTCTTTGATGATGTTGGCTATCTTTCCATAGCAGCGAGCCAGATAAATAGAGTCCACAGACTGAAGGTTGGCTTCTGTGATGGTCTGAGCTGTGCACACAACCTTCTGTAGTTTCTGAGGGTCTTGGGCAGCGCAGTTGCCATACCAGGCCGTTATGCACCCAGACAGTATGCTTTCAATGGTGCACCTGTAGAAGTTGGTGAAGGACCTTGTGGAAATCTTACTTAAGCTTCAAATGACAAAGTACAGTGGAACCACAAGTACAGTACCAATGTAAATGAGTCACTGCAGCAGTGTAACCAAATGGAGGACAGTGTTCATGCTCTGAAGTTATTGAACTCAATGTCGAGATCTAAAGACTTCAAATTGCCTTAGAGAAAGAGCACCAAATTTTCCACAAGCTTGCATTGAACTTTGTTGGAGTACAGCAGATAGCCTATGACAGAACTGTTAGCGTGACAGCACGATGAGGTATTGAAGTGGCAAGCAACTGGAAGATCGCATTATTTTTAAAGACAGGGTGGTTTGTAAAACAGCCATCCAGTCTGCTTTTGGTCTCGCCAGTGTGGTGAGCATTGTGAGGAGCGAGTACAGTTTGAATGAAGTACCAGTAAACCACTGCTTCAACTATAAAGGTGTATTTTGAGTGTTGTACATTGAGGAGGGAGGTGACAAAAGGAAAAATGTTACAGATTTTGCAATTACACTAGCAGGTGCTATGATCACAGTGAAGAAGTGTTAAGAGTGACGCAAGAGTGGACCAGGGTATCACTAAAGGAACAGTCCCTGCAGGATGCTGGCGAGGGAGGGGAAGATATATTTGGCAACTGCATCCTGCTGGAGGCAACGGAAAAGTAGAAAATGATCCTTTGAAACTGGAGGCTGATCAATAGAAAATGAGGATCAGGGGTACCCTTTCATTGTTCTGGGAGGCAGGAGGTGAAAGCCTTAAGCGCAGGAAGTAAATCTAACATGACTGAGAGTCCCATCAACCACGGTGGAGATTTAATCTTCAGTTCAGGGAAAAGAATGGACATTTTGGAGGCACCCTACAGAAAGGATATCATTAGAACAGATGCAACGGAAACAGAGAAACTGACATAACAGAATGGAGTCCTTACAGGAAGCAGAATATAAGCAAGTATAGTCAAGATCACTTTGGGAAACCGGGGTTTATAACAGATATTAGTGGACAGCCTATCTCCAGCAATGGAAACAGTAAAGTCAAGCCAGGTAAGGGTAAAGTCAAAACAAAAACAGATGAATGAGAGAGAAGGACTGGAAGCAAAACTGAAGAATTTTTCCAATTCCCAATGAGAGAAGGCAACAGCATTGATGACATCATCAATGTACCAAAGAAAGATGTGTTGGAGGGGCTCTGAGTAGGAGTGGAACAAGGAGTATCCCACATAAAGATAGGTATAGGTAGGCCCATATCAAACCTGTTGAGTTTCTTTAGCACTTTTGTTTTTATTTAGCTTTCAAACAACTTGTCTACATACCACTGCCCTAAGTAAGCATTAAGCATCATAATCACTCAGGAAGCCCACGAATGAACAGTGGGGAAAACAGAAAAATACTATATTGATGCAGAAGGGGACATATGAAAAGTTGGGACTGAGGAATATTTTGCACAATAGAGGAAAATTATTTCTCTATTTGCCAGTTTGCAGAGAAAATTGGAAAGTGTGATCCCTAGGTATCTGAATTCCTTCCGATGAAAAGGGCACTGACCTGAAAAGATCATTTGTTTCTCTCTTCAAATATCAACCAGCATTTTCTGTCCTTATGCATCATTAATATTTCTAATCTCAATAACCATAAAATGAATGAAAAACATTGAATTTCACTGATTTATATTCACATAACAAAACTGTAACAAATTATATCTAATATGGGAGAATGAATATATTGTTAAAAGAAAAATCATCCTAATCCAGGGAGATTTTTTGTAATCAATTTATGAGAATGTGTTATGACATATCTCCTCGGCCAAAACATATTAAAATGGGGCTTGAACTTTCTGGCCCAGAGGTAGGGAGACTAACAATGTACTATAACACCCTCCAATATTTATAAACAAACAGAAATAATGCAATTTCATAGTCATGCTTCATGGATGGTACATGACAATGTTTCCAAAAAGTTTTAAACTGGAGACTTTTACCTGTGAGGTAGACATCATTATCTCTTCCCCATAACCTATTAAAGAACTTTTAACCTAGTCACGATGTGAAAAAACTGTAATTCTGTCAGTATGAAAAAAATTCAATTAAAAAGATAACCTTTCAAATGATGTATAAGTAATTTGAATCATATTTCTCCCTCTTAAGTTAAATCTTTGGGTGGTTATAGAGTCATGCAGTCATAAAGCTGTGCAGCATGGAAACAGACCCTTCGGTCCAACTCGTCCATGCCAATCAGATATCCTAAATTAATCTAGTCTTGTTTGCCCGTATTTGGCCCATATCCTTCTAAACCCTTCCTATTCATATACCCATTCAGATGCCTTTGAAATGCTGCAATTGTACCAGCCTTCACCACTTCCTCTGATAGCTCATTCCATACACGTACCACCCTCTGCATAGAAAAAGTTGCCCCTTAGGTCACCTTTAAATCTTTCCCCTCTCACTTTAAACGTACACTCTCTAGTTTTGGACTCCCTTGCCCTGGGGAAAAGACCTTGGCTATTCACCCTATCCACGCCCCTCATGATTTTATAAACCTCTATAAGGTCACCCTTCAGCCTCCAATGCTCCAGGGAAAATAGCCCTAGCATTCATCTCTCCCTATAGCTCAAACCCTCCAACCCTGGCAGCATCCTTTTAAATCTTTTCTGAAGCTACTTAAGTTTCACAATATCCTTTGTATAACAGGAAGATCAGAATTGAACGCAGTAGTCCAAAAGCGGCCTAACCAATGTTCTGTACAGCCACAACATGACGTCCCAACTCTTATACTCAATGTACCGACCAACAAAGGCAAGGATACCAAGCGCCTTCTTCATAGAATAGAATCACAGAATCCCTACAATGTGGAAGTAGGCCATTCGGCTCATCAAGTCCACACTATACTATCACTATCCTGTCTACCTGCGACTCCACTTTCAAGAAACTATAAACCTGCCCTCCAAGGCCTTTTTGTTCAGCAATACTCTCCAGGACCTTACCATTAAGTGGAAAAATCCTGCCCTGATTTGCCTTTCCAAACCATTACTTTTTTTATTTGCAGCAGTTTCAAATAGACTACCAAAACTAACTGTAAAAGCCATTAGAATTCAATTATTATAGGAACATAAAAGATGAAGTATAAAGGGAAAAAAGTGTGTTTATGCAGGTAAACTTTGGAAAACCCATATCATTTTTAAATGAATGTTTGGCAATAAATTTTACTACCATTTTCATGCTTGTTCTTCCCTAAAGACAGATGGACAACCGAAAAATCATACAAGGTATCCACTGGTAGATTTGGCATGCTGGCAGCAAGTCGTTTAATCATCAAGAAGTCCGAATTACGCTCCCTCTTCATAGCCATTTCTTCCATTGTGGGCCTCCGTGGACTATCTAGCATCTTTACCCTAGAATAATGTTAATCACCTGATTATAATAGGATACTTACAAGTCAGCATGTTAGTAAAAAAAAATAAAAATCAAATAAGTTATCATTCGCCTGAAGGCAAATCCATTGTAAGGAATCAGCATACATGACATGGTAATACATCAAACAGATTACTGATAAAACCCAAAAAGTAATTTTTAAATTGTACCAAAAGTAAATACACATCTTTTATCTACCACTTAAAATACTTGGACTGGCGACCTTCCCTCCATCTTAAGGCCAGAAGTAGGGATGTTCACCAATGATTGCACAATGCTCAACATCATTTACATCTCCTCAGATACTGAGGCAGCCCATGTTCACATGTAACAAGATCTGGACAACATCCAGGTTTGGGCAGACAAGTGACAAGTAATATTCACAACACATAAATCCCAATCAATTACCATTTCCACAAAGAGACAATCTAACCACTGCCCCTTAACGTTCAATGGTATTATCACTACTGAATTCCTCACTATCAATGTTCTGCAGATTACCATTGACCAGAAATTCAACTGGATTTGCCACATAAACAGCAGCTACAAAAGCAGGTCAAAGGTAAGGAATTCTGCAGCGAGTAATTCCCCTCCTGACTCCTGAAAGCCTGTCCATCATTTACAAGTCAGAAGTCAGGAGTGTTATGGAATGCACCCCACTTGCATGAATGGGTGCAGCTCCAATAACACTCAAGAAGCTTGACAGCATCCTAGACAAAGCAGCCCACTTGACTGGCACCACAACCACAAGCATCCACTCCCCCCACCACTACATTCAGTAGCAGCAATGTCTACTATCTACTAGATGCGATGCAGAAATTCATCAAAGATCCTTAGATAGCACTTTCCAAACATGTAACATCTAGAAAGATAAGGGCAACTTGGGAACACCACCATCTGCATGTACCCCTCCAAGCAACTCGGCTTGGAAATATATCACCCTTCCTTCAGTTTTTGCTGGGCCAACATCCTGGAATTCCCTCCCTAAGGGCATTGTGAATCAATACACAGCATGTGAACTGCAGTGGTTCAAGAAAGCAGCTCATCACCACCTTCTCAAGGGCAACTAGGGACAGGCGATAAATACTGGCCAGCCAATGACACCACGTCCCACGAGTGAATAAAAAAATCTTGATGCAATTAATTTAGAAAATGGAACAGCAAACAAAAATTAGAATCTTTTCTTGAATCTTGGTCTGTCTTGTGGTACATAATATGCTGTGCCTTTGTAAGGGTCCACAGATTTTTCCCTTTCGACTATAAACTGGAAAAGAAAAAGTTGGACACTGCCATGTAACTAAAAGCTACCAAGGAGATTTTGTGCAGCATCCAGGTCAAATAGGATTGTGTGGCATATATCTGAATTTCACAAGACTCTTAATTTTTGAAGAAATGAGGTGGATACTTTATAAAAGAGTGCCACCAGAAGTTTTTCAGTTAAGGAAAAACTGCCTCACCGCAGCTTGGTTTTGAGCTATCTGCAGCTTGTTTTTACAGGGCTATGAGTGTGGTGCTTTTGGAGACATCCAGAAGCAAAAATGAAACAACTCTCACCCTTCTCTTTGAGCAAAAATAAAACAAAACCTGAAGACGCTGAAATGAAAGAATTCACATAGAACAAAAGGTCTACACACTGGCTATTGAACTAAAGATCAACCATCACTCAGCAGACAATATCATATCATCATTACCAAGAATTTAAGGGACTGAAACAACTCATCCAACCTTTGCAGTCTAGATTTTGATTAACAGAATTTATTTTTATTGCCAATTCAGCCCTGAGCATCCTCTCCCATTTAAAATGATCTTGGTTGATCTCAACTCCATTTTTCTGCAATCTCCATAACCCTTCAAACCATTTCTAACTAAAAATGTCTATCTCCTTAAATTTACTCAATGTCCCAGCATCTACTGCACTCTTTGGCAGTGAGTTCTACAGATTCATGACCCTTTCAGAGAAATAATTTCTACTCATCTCTATTTTAAGTCTGCTACCCTTATCCTAAAACTATAACCTTTCATTCTAGATTGCCCCAAGTAAGGAAACCTCCTTTCTACATCTACTTTGTCAATCCCATTTAGAATCTTTTATACCTCAATTAGGTCTTCTCTCATCCTTCCAAACTCTAATGAGTATAGGTCTAAACTGTTCAATTGTTTTCATAAAGATAAACTCCTCACTTGTGGATTCAATCTAGTGAATCTCTTATGGGCTGCCTCCAATGTAACGACATACCTCCTCAAATAAGGGAACCAAAATTGTATGCAATACTCCAGGTGCAGTTTCATTAACACCTTATACAGTTGCAGCAACACCTTCCTACTTTATACTCTATTCCTTTTGCAACAAATGTCAAAATTCTACTTGCCTTCTTTATTACCTGCTGTACCTGTACACTGGCTTTGTGATTTATGCATGAGGATGTCCAAATCCCTCTGCACCAAAGCACTTAGAAGTTTTTTTTCTCCATTTAGATAATAAGCTACTTTTCTATTTCTCTGACCAGAAATGAATAATCTCTTAGCTATCCATGTTGAACTCCATCTGCCAAATTTTGGCCCATTTGTAAATTTCTTATTTCTTCATTGCAACTTACTTTCCCACTTATTTCAGTGTTAGCTGCAAATTTGGCTATAGTATTTTCTATCTCGCATCCAAGTCAATATGGATTGCAAATATTTGGGGCCCCAAGTACTAAGCCCTGCAATATCCCACTAATTACATCCTGCCAACCAGAAAAAGACTTATTTATCCCAACTCTCTGCTTTCTGTTGGTTAGCAAATCCTCTGTGAAGTAATGTATATGTTGGGGTTTTAAAGAGATGCCACATAAACAGAGATAAACACAAGACACAAGACACATCATAGGAGATTAGTAATTTGTTTTTCATTTATTCTAGACTAATTTTGTTTACAATAAATAGTCATTTCCTTGTTAATGATTAAGACTGAATCTCTTTTGTCCTAAAAAATTGGGTAGCTATACATTTGTGATAACTTGTTAACTTGAATAATGGGGCTCAATTATCTGAAAAAGGGTCACTGGACCTGTAACATTAACTCTGCTTTCTCACCAGAGATGTTGATAGACCCATTGAGATTTTTCCAGCAATTTCTGTTTTTGTGCCTGATTTGAATTAAATCGAGAAAACTAGATCCAAGCTCCATTCTGCTAACAGAAGTGAAAAGAGTGACAAGGCAGCAGAGAGAAATCTAAAGATTTTTGCCATGATCCATTCCCATGTAAAATTTAGTTTCTTAATACTGCAAGTATAAATCATCTATGCAGCTCACTCAAAAAGTAGAATTTATTACTCATAACCCTATACTCTAACATCTGAATATATTAATTGCAAATTGGCACAATCAATTTTAAATGCCAAACCATTAAACTGTCATAATAGAAACCCAGCATGTTGTAGAGGTGCACCATGTCAGAGGATAAGAAATTATTTTACAACCACAATCATTGCAATGCTAAATTCTCACCAATGGTGATCTGGACAAGTTCCAAAGTCAGAAGTCACATAACACCAGGTTATAGTCCTGATGATGGGGCTGCGCTCCGAAAGCTTGTGTGATTTCAAATAAACCTGTTGAACTTTAACCTGGTGTCATGTGGCTTCTGACTTTGTCTGCCCCAGTACAACACTGGCACCTAAAATAAACAGGAAGTAACGTGTCTTTAAATGTGATATTCAACTCCTAACTCTTAATTTAGAACCATGGAAAAACTACAAAACAAAACTTCATTGAATCACAAATACTCTGAAATAAACTTCACAGCAAGTATCAGCTCTCAGGATTTAAGTGGTGAAGCCTATTCCATTCTATCACCATTAAGCTCCCATTCAATTTACTTCGGACACAAAACTAAAATCTTTGCACAAAATTCATACCATCACCAACCAGACAGTAGAGATCAACAACATAACTCACTCCCAGATGAAAAACCTATCTGCTATCTGGCAAGAACTTGCAAAACCAGTAGTAATAGCAGTTTCCATCGAAATCCTATTCAGGTTTCTCTGCGCAAGAATTCCATGTTTTACTTCAAATAGCACTAAATCAATTATTTTCACTTAAACAGTTGGTTTTGGATTTACATAAATGAACTGCAACAGTCTTCATGCTTTTTTGAAGAACTGTGATTTCTAAAACACAATCCTTCAGTTTTACCTGTCATTTTCGGAGCAACTGCTGAGTTCCATGTAGCTGAAAGCATCCATTTTTCCACTCAAACGAGCTTTAAGGAAAGAATGGAATATATACGTCTCCAAAACCTAGAATTTGCAATAACAAAACCAATCTTAAAAATTGTTATGATCATAGTTAAATTGCACTATCAATTTTCAACTTAAATCATTTGACTTAAATACTTCAGACTTTCATGGACCAAGATTAGTTTTAAAAAGGTCAATTGCTTACCTCAAATAGCTATTGTAATTACTTGACTAAGTTGAGGCGAGCTCATGAAATGATTAGTAAACAAGAATCAATCTGATCCAAAATTAGAATTGTTCTAAAATGTGACTGAAACTCAGACCTGTATCTCCAAATTGGTTTGCACCTTCCTGCAAGTTACAGTTTGCGATAAAATGTTGTCTATGGAGTATTCAACTTGGAAAAACAGTGAGCAAAGTCAGGAAAATATAAACAGACTTTCATCAACAAATGCTCTGAGGCATCTAAGGCAAATAACAGGATAAATGGATCTGTAAGCTAGAACTGGAATGCACCATCTTGGAAATCTCCCTCTCAACCTTAAAAAGGAACTTGGAGTAACAATGGTTCACCGAAAACTCAAGATCTGCAAACTTGAGCAGTGTTGAAGAGACAAAGCAACAGTTAAACTGTTGAGACTCAGGTCATCCTCACAACTGAAGGACTCAAAAATTTAAAACTACAATTGTCTTTACCTTCTTGTCTGTGCTAGACACACTCCCCCTTCTTTGTAAGCTTATTACTCTGTACATGAATGTTTGATATAGCGATATTTCACACAAGACTTTGTGATTAATTTGTTGCTTCATTTGATCTAGTGAAACAAGATTTAACCGAAGTGAATTTTTTTTGTATGCTAGGTTTAGTAACTACCATACTTGGCCTAAAGTTTTGCTAAACGACATATAGTAAACCTTCAACCCTAATCTTCATAATCACATAACACAAAGAAAAATATCTCCTGGCAATAAAGTCATTCAATATGCCAAGTTGATATTTTGTTTGCTCAATGTACTCATTTCCTTGAGTTTCTACCATATTTTTGTATCAAACAAACAATCTCTTTTGCATTAACCACATTCAAGCCCATCTCATGTCCTTCATCATTTTAAAAATCTAGGATAACAGCCCCATGATATTCTTATTTCTTTGAAACATTACTGAAATAAGCATTAATCTAGAATATTTTACTTTGAAGTATTTTTAATAATAGTACAGAAAATCTTATGCTTTTTGGAGTTTATATTCTACCAAAAACTAGCAAGAATGGAATGATATTCTCAACTGGATGGGGAAAAAAATTAAGGAACAGAAATACCTTAAGAGTGCGAGGAATATTGGAAAAGGAAGGACAAATAGTTAAAAAAAAGAAAGATAGAAAGTCCAAGAAGAATTCAGATATCTGAGCACTTGGTACAAGAATCTTGGTTAGGCCATATGGTTTGGAATACTGTGTGCCATTCTCAGCACAAAGTAAAAAAAGCATTGAGGCCACTGAAAACTTGGAATATGAATCCACTAGAATCAACAGGAAAAATTAAGTGTGGAACAGGCAAAAATAAGAGCATCAAACTTCAAAATCATAGTAACTTTCAGAATATAAATAAAAAAATTTTCTACCCATCAGTTCATTGGCAACAATGAACATAACTAGTACTACAGTATTCAAAACTAGTTCTATAAAAATAAAAGAGAAGCTTGGGGATTTTTTTCTGTAAAAGATCTACAAGAATATGAAATGAATCCTCAAGTGGAATTGCAGGAATTCATTCTTGACATGAAGAAGAAATTAGATTTAGAAAACCAAAATATACTAGAGGGGACAGGGAAACAGTACTGAGAACAAATTAGAGTTGAGAACCTAATTGCATGAGATAGCTGTAGGAACACATCAAATGGTTCCCACCTATAATGAAAATTGTAATGGTCCATTGTATCAGTATCATTTTCACATGCCGATATCATTTTTAAATGAATACCTTTTTGTAAAAAGGCTGATCAGAAATGGTTCTGTTCTTCAAAAATTCTTCACTGTTGAAGACGCGATATTCATAATTAAGATAGTCTGATACTTCCCTGCAAAAATAATGGTTATGTAAACTTTGCAGTGAAGAGTTTTATAATTTAACATTTTAAATGGATCAATATTTTGGCATTCAAAGTATACAAGTTAAATTTATGGACATGGATTTAAGACAGAGTATTTCAACGTATAATCTAAAACAGAAAGCGAAATATTGAGGATACTGGAGCTCTGAGATAAAAAGATGAAGTGCTGAAGAAACTCGGCAGATCTGCAGCTTCTGTTTTTATTAAACTCAACAGTAACTTTTTTTTAAAAATGTGATAACTGACTTAGAAGAAAATGCAGTATCAGAAATTTAACAGTACGCTTGATATCTGGCACAATACCATAATTCTATTTTGTATCTTCCTACATATATTTACCAGAGAAAGATTTTTTTTTATGATAGTAAAACAGTTCAGATGCAAGCATTTTATTTCAAGCAAGATCTCTTATGTGACTGTGACAATATTGAACTGATCTTTATTCTCCTTGCAAAGCACATTTCCCAGTGTGAAGGAAACTGAATTTTTAATAACAAGGAAGTAGTATTTACACTGAAAAGAGCTACTAATTTGTAGGTTTTTTTTCCAGCAACTCTGTAGAGACATTGAAGTAACTACAGGTAAGTTTTTTTTTATATAATAGTGAATATGAAATATAAAGATCTGATGGAGTGGTCATTCACTATCATAAATATTTCCTGTACAGATAACAACACATGACACTTTCAACCAAGTAATTTGCCATTATAATTATGATAAGCATTAAGGAAGCATTGATTTGAATTTCAACCAATTTCCACCAATAAAATCCCACTGTTTCATTGATTTATTTACAAATAACTAGAACTTTCTCCTGGATATCCTGGAAAATGCAATTTCTCAATTGTCTATTTAACAATGATGGATCTAGAAATACACGTGTATCCCATTTGTGACTTCATGCATGGTGACAGCAAACACTGATGTATACATCACACTGACATCACTCTTTTAAACTCTAAAGAGGAGTAATGCTGGACTCAAATAATAACTCCACTTCTCCCTCCACAGATGTTGTTAGGCTCTCAGTTTCTCCAGCATTTTTGTTTTTATTTCAAAAATCACAACTGATAATTTGCATTTAATCTCCAATTATTTTTATTTCACCATCATTAAAATGGTCATCTGGCCTGAGCCATCTCAGTTGACCTGACTAAGCAGCAAGGCACTGACCCCAAATCCTCTGAGCCTCCAGTGCATATTGTTAAATTTTTAGATAAAAATTAAGTAACGGTTCAATGGTGAATCCAATAAAATAAGTGTTTCTGAAGTCATTTTTACCTGAAGATGTTAACCATCAGTTCCAAGGATATTTGCTGAATTTGAACATTCAGGTTCTGCTGCCATTCCCTTCTGCGCATGCGTAAATCTGAAATATCTGTGCTGGAGCCCAAGTGAGATAATTCCAGATCATAGTACAGCTGTAAGCTTTCTATCCTGAAAAAGAAGTTTTTTTTTGTATTTTTCTTTACCCAAAGAATCAAAGATTCAAGAATGGTGGAATATATAAAGTCTTAAATAATATGACTCCTTATGACATTTGTAGTATCTTGCATACAGGAAAATAAACAAAGTTAAATAGTAAATGATGCAAGTCATTATAACACAGCAATTCAAAACTTCTCTACAGATTAGCTTACTGTCCAAAATTATCATTTTTATTCTGATATCAATTTGATAATCTTAATTTTGAGCTGATATAACTGGACTTGTCTCTTGTGGGAATTAGCAGCTGCTATGATTTACGGATATGCTTTCAACAGTTACGAAATGCAAGAATTTCTAATTAGCATTCGAAAATTGTCAATCAAATTCTAACTAGTCTAAATTAGACACCCATTGAAGTAATTTGAGTTGAGATCAGATAAGGGTTGATTGTCCCTTCAGGAAATATAGCTATTTGCATTTTGACAGGCACAAAATCTTTGGGTTAGAATCATAACCAATAAAGCAATTTCTAATGCAACTAAATCTCAAGGAAATAAAGGAGTCAAATGAAGTGCACATCTTCAATGGTAAATTTAATGCTAGAAAGAGTTAGGAAAGGTTTTGAAGGATCTGTCAATTTCATGACAAGGGATTTCAATTCCAAGTGAGCCACAGTAAAATGAACAGAACAGAAGCACACTTGGGACTTTTTAAAAAACAACCGGCAGGACAGACCCAGCAGACGTGGCAGCACACTGGTATGCAGTCAGGTGGGAATCGCCCTGGGAGTCATCAACATTAATTCCAGACATCGTGAAGTCTCAGGGTATCAGGTTAAACTTGGACAGGGAAACCTCTTGTTGATTACCATGTACTATCCTCCCTTAGCTAATGAATCAGTATTTCTCCATGTTGAACAACACTTGGATAAAGCAGTGAGGATGGCAAGGACACAAAATGTACTCTGGGTCGAGGAATTTTAATGTTAACCACCAAGAGTGATTCGAAAGCAGCATTACTGATTAAAGAACATAGCTGCTAGACTGGATCTGCGGCAGGGAGGACAGGACCCATCAAGAGGAAAAAATGACCTCATCCTCTCCTGTAACAGATGCATCTGTCCATGACAATATTAGTAAGACCGCACAGTCCTTGTGGGGACAAAGTTCAGCATTCAAATAGAGAATACCCTCCACCGTGTTGTATGGTTCTATCACCATGCTAAAATCGGACAGACTAAAAATAGATACAGCAACTTAAGGCTGGGCATCTATGAGATGCAGAATCATATTCCAACATAATCTGCAACCTCATGACCTGGCATATCCACCACTCAACCATTACTATCAACCCTGGTTCAATGGAGAGTGCAGAAGAGCATGTCATGAGCAGCAGCAGGTATAGCTAAAAATGAGATGCCAGCCTGGTGAAGCTACCAAACAGGACCACCTGTGTGCCAACAGCATTAGCACCAATCTATTGATACAGCTAAGCAATCCCACAATCAACAGATCAAATCTAAGCTCTGCAGTCCTGCCACATCCAGTTGTTTAATTGTTCATCACCATTCACAACTCACTAGAGGAAGAAGCTCCACAAATAACTCCAACCTCAACGATGAGAAAGCTCAGCACATCTGGATATAAGATATCGTGAAATAGACAGATCCTTCAAAACCTTTCCTAACGCTTTAGAGTTCAGAGTCCCAGGGAAATGCTGGTGTGGGGGTGACTCTCCTGCACAGGGACTGAGGGAGGAGGAATGAAATGAGAAGCGCGCAAGGGTGGAGACAGTGGAAAAGGTGCTGGTTATGTTCATGCTCAAGTTCACAATGTGTTTAAAGGAGAGGGTTAGACCACAAAGATTTCTCTTTGGGTCGTTATCATCCACTTCATCAGGTGGAGGCTGACTGTACATCACCTTGGGCTTACTTGACTCTCTTTAGCCAGAAGTGCTAAATCCATCTCAGCTTCCCCAAGACATTCCCAGCATCATAGACACCAGTCTTCAGCCAATTTGGAGGCAGTGGACACTGCAAAGGTGATGGGCCCTAACAACATTTCTGGCAGCAGTACTGGAGACTTGTGCTCCAGTCTTTCCTTACCCTTGACCAAGTTGGTTCCAGTATAGCTACAACACTAGCATCCACCAATGATGCAGAAAATTGCCCAGGTATGTTCTGAAACAAATAGCAGGACAAATGCAACCCAGTCAATTACCACGCCATCAATCTATTCTCAATCATCAGTAATGTGAACGTGTCTTCAACAGCTGCTTCTAAAGGAATTCCAGGTATGTCTAGTTTGATCTCTGAAAAGTCTGAGGATTTAATAGTTTCTTCATCAATTTTCACCAATATTAAGCCTTCAATTTCCTAGGATTTATAATTATTTTAAATTGTTTCAGTTCAATAGAATTATCTTTAAACATTTCTGGAATGCAATAGTTTATATTCTTCTATTTATTGTTCTGATTTATTTTAAAAATTCAAATACGAACCTTTAAACAGGACAAGACCATTATAATTAACCATTTCAGATGGATTACAAACTCACTACTTCCCTTCTTGTCGAATTGTCATGTCACTAAGACATGATGCAATCATAAATCAGTTTAAAATCTGTAATATTTTAAAATGGACTTTGCTGGCCTAAAAGGTGATTACCATTGATTACATCATGTAAACTAACTACAGTTCTTGGAAGTTTTAATCAGCAATTACCAAGCCAAAACTCAGACACAAGTTTGGGTTCCATCAGTCACTTAGCTCCTGATCTTAAGGCCTTGGTTCAAACATGGACAAAAGAGCTAAATTCCAAAGGTGAGGTGAGAGTGACATCCCTTGGCATCAAGGAGCCCCAGCAAAACTGGAATCAATGAGAATCAGGGGCATATTCTCCAGTGGTTGTCATACCTGGCACATAGGACGATGGTTGTGGCTGTTGGAAGTCATCTCAGCTCTAGAGCATCTCTGCAGGATTGTTTCAGGGTAGTAGCCTAGGCCCAACCATCTTCAGCTGCCTCGACGACCTTCCCTCCCTCATAAGAACAGAAGTGGGGATGCTCGCCAATAATTGCACAATGTTCAGCATCATTCCAACTCCTCAGATATGGAAGCAGTCCATGTTCAAATAGAACAAGACATGGACAATAATCTAGGCTTGGGCTGAAAGATGGCAAGTAACATTTGTGCCAGACAAATGCCAGGCAATGATCATCTCCAAAAAGAGACAACCTAACCACCACTCCTTGATATTCAACAGTATTACCATTACTGAATCCCCCACCATTCATATCCTGGAGGTTACCATTGACCAGAAACTCAATTGGACTCACCATATAAATACAGTGGCTAAGAGAGCAGGTCAAAAGCTAGGAATTCTGCAGCGAGTAACTCACCTCCTGACTCCCCAGTGCCTCTCTACTATCTACAAGGCACAAAACAGGAGTGTGATGGAATACTTTCCACTTGCCTGGGATGAGTGCAGTTCCCACAGCACTCAAAGAAGCCTGACACCATCCCAGGCTAAGCAGCCCACTTGATTGGCCCCGCATTTATACCCCTGCCACCACCAGTGCTTAGGAGTTGCCGTGTGTACTCTACAAGACGCACTGCAAAAATTTGCCAAGGATCCTTAGACAGCACCTTCCAAGCCCAGAACAACTTCAAACTGGAAGAAGAAGGGAACACCACCAGCTGCAAATTCCCAGCCATGCCACTCACCATCCTGAATTGGAAATATATCTTCACTCCTTCACTGTTGCAGTGTCAAATCCTGGAATTTCCTCCTTCGCGGCATTGTTGGTCTAACGACAGCACATGAACTTCAGCAGTTCAATAAGGCAGCTTACCACAACCTTTTCAAGGGCAACTAAGGACAGGCAATACATACCGTGCAGCCAGCAACGATCACGTCCCGCAAGAGAATAAAAAGTGTACCAATAATTAAACCAATCACATGTTTGTTGGCAGGCTTAAGATCTTTGTCATTGGTAACTGGTCACTAGTTTTACAAACCAACCTGTGGCTTGTTGCCAGCAAAAGCTCCATCTGTATAAAACTCCAAGGTTCCAACTTGTATACAAACCACACTTCAATGAGTAAACAGTTGTATAAATGACACTTACTATGAGGACTGCCAGATTCCAGCTATTTGTTTTTTTAAAAACAGTTCCTTTCTCATTTCAATCCACAATTAGAAAAAAAGCAAAAACAACAAGACAGTTTTTCCATTGCATTTACCTTTGTGTAAAACATTCCGCTGCTTCTAAAGGAATTTCAGGTATATCTAGTTTGATATGTGACAAGTCTGAGGATTTAATGGTTCCTTCATCGATGTTCACCAATATCAAGCCTTCAATTTCCTATATAATTAAGAGCAAGTAAATTTAATTTTAGGCTTTATATATTGTTTTAAAATGTTGATTCAACGCAATTTTCCTTAAAATTCTCTGGAATGCAATGGTTTATATTGTTCTAACTTTTTTTAAAAATTCAAATACTGAACCCTTAAACAGGAAAAGGCCATTGCCATTTCAGATGGATTACAAACTACTTCCCTTCTTGTCGTATTGTCATGTCAATATGATGTGACAAGACCATAAATTGGTTTGAAATCTATACTTTCTTACGTTTGTTTTAAAATGGACTTTGCAGGATTAATAGGTGGTTACTGTCAATCACATCATGTAAGCTAACTACAATTCTTGAAACCTCTGAACAGCAATTACCAGGCTAAAACTCAAGACACCAGCCCCTTAAACCTCATACCCTTGTAATATGTGGGTCTTGCAATCAATAAATATAAACCAATAATCAATGATATGGCCTGCCAGCAGAGTCTGGCAAATAAAGACAGCTATCAAAATTCATTATACCTGAAAAGATGTGAATGGCTGACTATCCAGGTCTCAAAACAAACAATGGTTTTGACCAGGGCACAGACAATTACTAACTAATGTGGCTCATCCAGAAACTCTGACACAAACATTTAATAGACCAAAAGTGTTTTAGTTAAATTTAAACTCTGGGCATCCTTACTTCAGTCTGCTAAGAAATCAACCAGTTGGTTACATCCAGTCTACTTTGATCACCCAAGTGATTTAAGTCTACAAGACTATCAACAGACCTGAGGCCAGTAGCCCAGCTTATCTCAAGTCCAAGTAAGCTGTTTCAAAAACTATTTCAGAAAGAAACCTTGAATTAGACTGAAAAGCAGACTAAGTATCTACACGTCAATGTTACATTGCTGTGCCTTCTCAACTTTACAAGGAATCATGCAGCTTGTGCCTTGGTTAGCTGAACCTGCCTGAATTGGAGTTTCTGCAGGAATTAACCCTCCACATTTTGGACTTTAAAATCATGTGAATGAATACTCATATTCTTTATTGTAACCTATTCCTATTCCTTTTTCTTCCTTGAATGACTCTGTGTGCATGTTGCTACAATCATTCCCTGGGTTTGAAAGCATGAATAAACTGTACTTCTGATTTGACCTCAAGATTTTTAATGCTGGTCACTTTGCAAATTAGACTCCCAAACAGAACATTGAGGGAAATACAGCACAGCCTGATTCAAAAGAGAAAAAGGAAACACCTCTGCTTGTGCACAGAATGCAAGAAAAATAAGAGTTCAATTTACTTCACTCACCCATTCACAACAATATCCAGCAGTCTTAACGTTCAATTAATAGAAACTTGGATTGTTTTTAGGGACCTCTCTAGCAGAGACAAGCAATATACCCAAACAATCAAAACTTGTCACATTAATTTCTCAAATTGTTTAAATTGAGGTGCATTTCTTCAAGTTTTATCAGCTCACTTGAGCAGCACACATTACATTTCTTCGCTCCTCACAACAAGATCAGCTACAATTTTTAATAATTCATTCATTCGGTGTGGGCTTTTCTGCGTGGGCCAGCATTTATTGCCCATCCCTAGCTGCCTTTGAGAAGGCAACAGGAGCTAACCTTGTTAAACAATGCAGTCCTTTTGGCTGAGGTAGACCGACAATGTTGTAAGGAAGTGAATTCCAGGATATTCACCAAGTTAGGATACTTGCAGGTGTTGGGTACTGATATATGGTTATTGTTGTCCAATGTATCTGCTGCCCTTGTCCTTCTAAATAGTAGCAGTCATAGTTTGGGAAAGTGTTATTATACGAATAAGGAACAGGAGTAGACCCCTTGGCCCTTCAAGCTTGGTCCGACATTCAATAAGACATGGCTGATTTGATTTTAACTATCTAGCTCAGCCTTAAAAATATTGAAAGAGGATGCATCCATTGCCTTTTGAGGAAACAAAAAGTTTCATCAGCCTAGGAGAAAAAATGTTTCCTCGCCTCTGTCTTAAATAGGTGACTCTTTAAAATAAACTATGACCTCTAGTTCTAGACTCTCCCGCAAGAGGAAATATCTTTTTCACATCTACCTGGTCAAGTCTACTCTGGATCTTTTCTGTTTTAATTAAGTCACCTCAGACTCTTCTAAACTTCAGATGATGCAGGTCTAGTCTGTCTGGCTAATCCTCAGAAGGCAATTCACGTAGTCCAGATTCTAACCTAGTAAACCTTCTCTGAACTGCTTCCACCGTATTAATATCTATTTGCAAGCACAGTGACCAGTACCGCACACAGTATTACAGACACTGTCTGTCCAATGCTCTAGCAAGTCACCTAGTTCAAAAACAATTAGAAATAGGCAACATACATTTCAACATCAACCTGGTTGAGTTCCTCAGTTCCGGTTTCATGAGCCTTGGTGAATTTCTGCAGTGTATCTTGTAGATGGTACACACTATTGTTACTTTGCGCCTGTGGTGGAGGGAGTGAATGGCACACATCCATAAACAAACCATCGAGTAAGCTTTGTCCAAAATGGTGACAAGCCACCATCTACAAGACACAAGTCAGGAGTTTGATGGAACGCACCTCATTTGCCTGAATGAGTGCTGCTCCTACAAAACACAAGAAGCCAGGCACCGTCCAGGACAAAGCAGACCACTGGATTGACACCGCATCCAATCCCTTGATCACCAATGTGCAGTAGCAGAAGTGTGTTCCATCAATACATTGCACTATAGAAATTCAAGATCCTTAGACAGCACCTTCCAAAATCACGATTCCTACCATCTTGAAGGACAAGGGCACAAAATATATGGGAACACCACGACTGCAAATTCTCTTTCAAGCCACTCACATCCCGACTGGGAATGATTCTGTAATTCCTTCAGTGTTGTTGAGACAAAATCTTGGAATGTCCTCCCTCATGGCATTGAGGATCTACCTATAGCACACGCCTTCAGCAGTTTGAGAAGGCAGCTTACTACCACCTTCTTAAGGGCATCTAGGGATGGGCAATAAATGCTTGTCCAGACAATGATGCCCCTGTCCTACGAGCAAATAAATGATAAACTTCAAGTGTTGTTAGAGCTGTAGTCATCCAGGTAAGTGCAATGTACTCCTTTCAAATTGTAAAATCATTTGATTGTAATGCTGTTAGTACTGCTAAGATTAACGCTGCATATAGGATCATTGCAAGTGAGCAAAATTTTTGTTTGCTGGTGACCTTGAAGAACCAGCAACGGTATCAAAGAAAACTTCTGGTGGATGCAGCAAGTGTGGATAACTATGGGAAACTTTGAGCCAATTGAACTTCCTGGCAGGACAGGACACAGGTAATATTTTACTTGTTACCAGTCTCAACTCCAGTGGGTTTCCCATTTTTCATGGATATCAGGAAAAGAGGAGCAAAGATATATATTTTAAAAAATAAGAATAGTAGAAGTTTAAGATATATTATGAACTTTCATTTACATATATTATTTTTATTTAGGAACTTGGGTTCTAGAGTGGGGAAAAATGGATTTTAGTCTTCAGTTCTGTGAAAGTCTGACATTTATTTTTAAGAAGGTCAAAAATTAATTTTGAACAGTAAGTTCAAAGCAGCATTTACAAGAAGTCATGGGTTTTTAGCTAACTAACCTGCAATATGCCTGGGAGATAATTACTAAGGTGTTTGCAGGCTTGGGTTTTACAATCCAAAAAGAGAAAGTGACAGAGGGTCAGAGCAAGTTAATGCAGACAGAATGTTTTTACAGCAGAAGTGCTATTAGCAGCAGTGTCAAACCAGTCAGGCTAAGGAGAAGTCATGTAAAGTATCCAGGTTAATGCAAAGAAAGTTCTAGAAGCATGGAGATATCAAAGAGGAAGACATCTTACAAGGCCTTTAAAATGTAAATTCAGGGCATCTACGTGGAATAGTAAGTGTGCTAAGTTAGCAGTTTATTTGAAGGCTCTTGGAAACACATTCACAAGAAAAAATAGCATGGAGTGAATGCAAATAAATTTACTGAAAGGCAACAAATTATTGTTATGACAACTGAGGAAGAAACTTTAGTTCAGAGATGAGGGAAACTCTTCATTGTGGTTTGAGTGTCTCTGATTCTGGTGACAGAATGAATGAATCTTTCTTTCTGATGTTTGTAATGAAATTTTATCAATTGTTCTGGTATCAGGTGATATAGATTGTGCTTTCCTTGTGTAATAAACTTTTACGTTCTTTTGTTAAAAGTTTATTCGCAGCCACATGAATATGTTCAGTAACGGAACTCCACAGTAAACAAAAAGAAAAACTTACATTTATCAAGTCAGGTTCCATTCGGAAATCTGACCTGTCCAATATTACCAGCAGCTGGGATATCTATAAATATATGCAGACATATAACACAATACTTACAGAGTTAACTTTATTAAAGTAATCAACATGGCAGCCCATCAAGAAAGCTGTTGGTGCCATTAGAAAATCCATCATGCCTTTGGACAGGATAGGAACATAGGTATGTTGCCACTGGAGTGGGTGAAGATAGAGAATAAAACATTCTGCGATGAGTGTCAGCAAAGCCCAATCAGTTGACAGAAAGACTATCCTCTGTTCAATTAAAAAACATGTCAGGATCTGAGGTAAAAAGAAAAATGAGAAAATTATCAATACTTGGCATTTATCCTCCCTAGGTATTTTACTTGTCCTTAAAATCCATTCACTTCTGCATATTGTTCAACATTACTATTGTTTTTCACTAAAATCAGGCACACTATCTTCCATATATTTTATGGACTATTCTACTTGAACAATGAGATACAGTTCAAGAAGGCCATGTAGCCAACACTCACTGCTATAAAGAAAAGGGCTTCAATTACATCAACTGCGCTTTCCATGGAATCTTGTGGCAATAAGCTTCAAACCCACAACCACTACTATCTGGAAGGACAAGGGCAGCAGATACATGGGAACACCACCACCTGCAAATTCCACTCAAAGCCACTCACCATCCTAACTTGGAAATATATTGCCTTTCATGCAGTGCTGCTGGGTCAAAATCCTGGAACTTCCTCCTAATGGCATTAAGGGTGTACCTACTCCAAATGGACTACATTAGTTCAAGAAGGCTGTTCACCACCCCTTCTCAAGGGTGACTAGGTTGAACAATAAATGTTGGCCTAGCCAGCGATAATCATCCATCCTGTGAAAGTATTTTAAGGTTTTGGAGTAGATCTGTAGCTCGGGTTGTGGGTGCTGAGGTTGGTTGGCTCACCGCGTTGGTTTGTTGTTTTGCAGACATTTCATTACCATGCTTGGTAACATCCTCAGTGCAGCCTCTGATGAAGCGTCGGTGTGTTTTCCCGACTGGTTTTTAAACTCTGTGGTCCGTTGAGATGGATTGCCTCACTTCCGGTTTTCCTTCGTAGTGGAATGTATATGGGGTCGAATTCAATGTGTTTATTAATAGCATGCTTCGTGGAGTGCCATGCTTCCAGGAATTCTCCTGCTTGTCTCTGCCTCGCCTGTCCCAGTATCTTGGTGTTGTCCCAAGATGGGGAACTGCAAACGAAAGTACACTGAAAAGCCACACACACAGACCAGGTACTGAACTTCAATAGTAACCATCCCAGCGCACACAAACGAAGCTGCATGCGAACACTATTTAAAAGGGCAACAACACACTGCAGCAACATGGAACGACGCCAAGAGGAAGAAGAATACCTCTTCCAAGTGTTCAAGGATAATAGATATCCAAAGAACTGGGTCAGAAGACGCCTACACGAACAGCATCAGAAAGATTCTACACGCCCTGACACACTCACACTACCCTACATCAGGAAGACGTCGGAACTCACCACAAGACTCCTACAACCGCTGAGCATCAGAGTGGCACACAAGCCCACGTCAACCCTACGACACTTGCTCACCTGAACTAAAGACCCACTCCCCACAATGGATCAATGTCATCTACAAAATCCCCTGCAGAGACTGCGAGAAACACTACATCGGACAAACAGGAAGGAAACTAACAACAAGAGTACATGAACACCAACTGGTTACAAAAAGACACGACCAATACTCACTCATCTCAATCCACATGGACAAGGAGAGCAACAACTTCGACTGGGACAACACCAAGATACTGGGACAGGCTAGGCAGAGACAAGCACGAGAATTCTTGGAAGAATGGCACTCCACGAAGCATGCTATTAATAAACACATTGAACTCGACCCTATATACATTCCACTATGAAGAAAAACCGGAAGTGAGGCAATCCATCTCAACGGACCACAGAGTTTAAAAGCCAGGCGGGAAAACACACCGACACTTCATCAGAGGCTGCACGGAGGGTGTTACCAAGCATGGTAACGAAATGTCTGCAAAACAACAAACCAGCTCGGCGAGCCAACCAACCTCAAAAGTATTTTAATTTTTTTGAATTCAAAGCTTCCTCCAAAAAGTAAAATTTAACAATGAAAACTTCTGAGTAGATCCATGAGATATCCTTAACATATTCACAGTTGGTCCATGCCTGGCCTACTTACATAAGTAACTTGAACACAACTACAAGATGAAAAATGAGAAGTGCTTCATTTTGGTAGCATGCAGAAACACAATATCAAATAAATGGCACAATTCTAATGAGAGCTCAGGTGTAAAGGAACCTGTACATAAATCATTGGAAATGACAAAACAGATTGAGAGATAAGTAAATAAAGAATTGAGAGTCCTATGCATTATTAATAGGGGTGCACACTACGAAAGCAAAAAAAAAATCAAATTTAGGTAAAACACTCATTCAGCTTCAGTTGTAATACTGAGTTCTGTTCTGGGCACCACTCTTTAGGGTGTGAAAGCATTAGAATGAGTACAGAAAAGACTCTCAAATTCTTAAGGAACCTCAGTTGAATAGATTCTTTGGAGAAATGGAGACTGTTACAATGGAGAAGAGAAGTGAGAGGAGATTTGATTTTTAAAACTGTATAGGAAAACAGTGGCATATTGTTAGTTATTATATAGTAATGTCATATGACTATTAATCCAAAGGCCCAGGACACTGCCGTGGGGAACATACATAGAAATACCATCATGCCAACAGGTTGAATTTAAATTCAGTTAATCAATATATTCTGAAAGCCAGTGTCAGTGATTATCATAAAAATCTATTTCTTTCATGAATATCTCTTGAGAAGCAAATCTGCCATCCTTCCCTGGTCAGGCCCACATATGTGTCTCCAAAACCACAATAATGTGGTTGCCTGTTAACCAACCTCAAGGGTACCAAATGCTGACCTGGCCAGTAGTGTTCATATCCATGAAAGAATTTTTTAAAAATCGTAAGGTACCTGAACAGAGTAGATAGTGAAAAACTGTTTCTATTTATGGTAGGATTCAGAAACAGAGAATGCAACGAGTATTTAGGTTCTAGAATGTACCACCTGGGAATATAGTGCACAGTATTCAAAAGGAAATGGGGTTTTAATTTTTATTCATTTGTGGAAGGTGGGAATCAGTGGCTAGGCCAGCATTTATTGCCAATACCCTGGAGAAGATGGTGAGCTGCCTTCTTGAACTGCTCAAACAATGTGGTTGCCTCTTAACTGCTCTCTGAAATAGCATTGCAAGCCATTCAGTTGTAACAAACTGTTACAAAATCTGAAAGAAGGACAGATAGACCACTAGCATTGATCAAAGCACCAGAACTTACATCACACATAGTCCAATAATCTCTCCAAGTCCTCCATTCTTTGTTGGTAGTGTGTGCCAAAATTGAGAGAGTTGACCCACAGTCAAGTAACAGCCTGACATAGACATACTTACAGACATGTTCCAGACATCACCATCACTAGGTATGTCCTAGCCCAACAACAGGACAGATTCACCAAAGGTGGTGGCACAGTGGTATACAGTGAGAAGGAAGTTGCCTTTGAAGGATATGGGCCAAATGCTGGCAAATGGGACTAATTAATTTAGGATATCTGGTGGGCATAGTTGAGTTGGGCCAAAGGGTGTGTTTCCATGCTGTACATCTCTATGACTCTAACTCTAACTACTACAAACATACTGAAGATCACAGAATCTCTACAATGCAGAAAGGAGCCACTTGGCCCATCGAGTTTGCATCGACTCTACAAATAGCATTCCACCCAGATCCAGGCCCAGCCCTCTACCCTAACCTTGTTAACCCTCATTTACCTAATCCACCTAGCCTGCACATTTTTAGAGCCTGGGAGGAAAACGGAGCACCCAGCAGGAATCCACAGACACAGGGAGAACATGCAAACTTTAAACACACACAGTCATCCAAGGCTGGAATCGAACCCAGGTCCCTAGCATGGTGAGGTAAAGGTATTAACCACACAGCCACCGTGCGACTGGGGAGGATAAGGTTGAGTGATAATTTTCCTCTTATTCGTTCTTTCACTATCTACCACTGATCTAATTTAGCAGCCAAGTCCTTCAGAACACATCCAGCTTGGGTCTAGAGTCAATGTTGATGGCTCCCAACTGTACACCACCACCTCTATTGCCAGGATATACCCAGGAATGGTGATGGTTGTTTCTTGGGCATGATTCCATGAGAATGAATATATTAGGCTGTTTTGTTTTTTAAAAAACTGGTCTATGGGTCAACCTCCCAATTTTGATACAAGTGCCAAATATTAATAAGGAGGGTTTTGCAGCATTGATAGAGCAGTTTCCACCGTCCAGGTCATGTGATCTGGGTGGTCTATCTGGTTTCATTCCTTTCTTTAAACTTTTCAGCAGTTCACCAGTTTGCAACAAGATCTTTAATGCTTATTTACAACTGAGTGACTTGCTAGGGCATTTCAGAGGGCAGTTAAGAGTCAAAGACATTGCTGTGAGTTAATTCATGTGGACCAGAGTAGATAAGGATTGCAGATTTTCTTTCGTAAGTACTACTGAACCAGATGGGTTTTTACACCAATGGTTACATTCTAGATTTGATTGAATTTAAATTTCATCCATCTGCTATGGTAGCATTCAAACCTATCTCCCCAGAACATGAGCCTAAAACTCCAAATTACTAGCCAATATGTCACCACTTGCCACCGGCTCTCCCCTGAGAAAGAAAATATGCAGGGCTATGGGGAGCTAGCAGGAAAATTGTATTTGGTGAATTGCTCCTTTATGCAGAGTCACCACAGACATGCAAGGCCAAATGACCACTTCTTTAACCATTCTGTGATTCTGAAGCTATACATATCAAAACTTACAACCAAAATCAAATCAAAGCACTTGGCAAACTGAAAGGAAATATTCAGCAATGCATCAACAAGTTAGTGGAGTGAGCAGACAAGTGTCAAATACATTTTTTTTTAGAAAGGAAGGTAATTAAACAACAGTCCCAGTGCCCATTTTCCCTGTCCTGCTCCCCCATGGTCCTGATAGTTTCCCATTTCCATACCAAGTTTGCAATGTCAATGCTTTTCAATGCAAAATTATTAGTTTGCATTTTCAGTGACCTATTACACAAAGGTGGTTAGGTTAATCCTTGAAGCAAATTATGACATACTCTGGCAAATGGAAGACCAAAGGTTTGGTAGCTTAAATTTGAGAATTAGTAGCAGTGACTTGGGGAAGTCCTTTTCCAGTCACTATATCAGAAGGAAATCGTGAAGATGGAATCAAGTAGTAAGGGTACAGTGAGATAGACAGAAATTACCTAGTCAGTGATTGAGACCATGAAAGCAGACATGCCATAAATGACAAGTGTTACTCCAAATATGGGGCAGTAATTACCTGAAGGATACATTTAGGTTTGAAGCAGAGGAAAGGAATGTGAAGGTCCAAATCTACTATAGGGTACTTCGGATCCTCCCTTGAAGGCAATATAATCTGCAATGGTTTCAAATTAAATACCTGAAAAACATATTAATGCTCTCTTACAATAAGTTTGAAGCTAATACTTAGAAATAAATAACACCATAAGGACATTAAAAGTAAGAACCAGAGTAGGCTATTCAGTCCCTCTAGCATGGTCCGCTGTTCAATAAGATCATGGCTGAATCAACATTCCTCACATCCACTTTAATGCACTTCCCTCTAACCCTGGATTCAAGACTGATCAAGAATCGATCAATGCCTTAAATATACTCAAGGACTCAGCTCCCACAGCTCTCTGTGACAAGGAGTTCTAAAGATACTTAACAGGCCGAGAGAAGAAATTCCTCTTCATCTCAATTTTATTCTAAGATAATGCTCTCTGGTCCTAGATTCTCCCATCAGGAGAAAACATCCTCTCTGCATTTACCGTGTCAAGCCCCTTAAAAATTCTGTACGTTTCAATGAGATCACCTCATTCTTCTAAACTCCAGTGAGTCAAGTCCCAACCCCTGTTTAGCCTTTGCTCATGTGCAATAAGGGATTATGCTTAGTGAACCTTCTCTCAACTGCTCCAATGACTGAAATCTTTCTTCCAACAAGGGGACCAAAAATGCTCATTGTATCCCAGATGTGGTCTCACCAGCACTTTGTACAGTTACAGTAAGACTTCCCTACTCTTATACTCCAACCCCCTCAAAGTAAAGGGCCAATACTCCATTAGACTTCCAGATTACCTGCTGCAACTGTGTGGTAGATTTGTGTTTCATGCACAAGTGCCTCCCAAGTACCTTTATGTTGCAGATTCCTGTAATTTTTCTTCCATATAAATAGGAATAAACAATATTCTATTGTTTTATTCTTCCTTCCAAAATGAACAACTTCACATTTTCCCACATTATACTCTTTTTGACAACTTTTTGCCCACTTACTTAACCTTTCAATATCTCTAAACTGGGTGTATCCCTCTCACAATTTGCCTTCTTGCCTATTTCTGTGTCATTTCCAAATGCAATTAGACATTTTGGAGAATCATGAAAAAGAAGTTATCTTGAAACACTCAAGAAATTCCTGAACTTGAAAATATCACAACTACATTCTCTTGTAAAAAACAGTCACAAAAAACTAAAGGGAATGAAGAAAAGCCCCACTCATCAATTCATGATGTCTCAAAATGTTTAAAATTCAAAGCAGTACTTTTGAAGTTTTTAAATTTTGCCTGTGGAATTAAGTATTTCTGGTGTTTGTTTCCAATCCCATATGTCCTTGAGAAGATGGTGGTAAGATAACTTCTTGATTGGTGCAGTTCCTCTGGTCTGCATAGACATATAGCAGTAGTAGGAAGGGAATTTTAGGATACTGACCGAGTGATAGTGGAAGGAAGAGCAGGGGCGGGGGGGCAGTGCAAAAGGATTTCAAACAGATAAGGAGGATGACAGGATCGGATGAAATACATCCAAGGATACTGAAAGGAGAGAATGGAAATTGTTCAGACACTGACGATTTTTCAAACCTTTGCTGGGCTGAGGGGTGGCGGCAGAGAACTGGAGAACTGCAAACTATAAGAACATAAGACATGGGAGCAGAAGTAGGCCATTTGACCAGTTGAGACTGCCCCACAATTCAATCAGATCATGGCTGATCTGAGAAACCTCAAATCCACTTTCCTGCTTTATCCCCATAACACTTCCATTCTTATTCAGCATTATGCCCTTATTCAAAAAAGGTTGTAAAGACAAGCCCGAAAATTACAGACCAGTCAGTTTAATTAAAGCAGAAGGCAAACTTCTAGAGACAATTATTCAGGATAGAACTAATAGCCACATGGAAATTTGGAACAGCCAGCAATGATTTGTTGTGGGAAAATGGTGCTTACCTAACTTGCTAGATGTTTTTGATGAGGGTTGATGAAGGCTTTGCTGTTGATGTGGTGGACATGGATTTGCAAAAAAACATTCAGTACACTGCCACATAATAGACCTGTGAGAAAAGTCATAGCTAATGGAATAAAAGGAACAGTAAAGAGGTGGATACAAATTTGACTAAGGAATAAGAAACAGAATAATGTTTAATAGGTATTTTTCAGTCTGGAGGAAGGTTTGTAATGAAGTTCAATATTGGATCTTTTTTTCTGTATATATAAATTACCTAGATCTTGGTGAGCAAGGGACAAATTTCAACGTTTACAGATAATACTAGACTTGGCAGCATTGCCAATATGAGAAGGATAGAGGACCTCAATGCAGTTTTGACAAGTTGGTGGAATGGCCGAATGAGTAACACATGAAGTTCAATGCAGAGAAGTGAGAGATGGTACATGTTGATACGAAGACCATGGAGAGTCAGTACAAATTAAAGGGCATACACGAGCATTGAGACCTGGGTGTAAGTGTGCATAAGTCATTAAGCTGGCAAGATAGCTAGAAAGAACAGTGAATAAAGTATATAGTATTCCAGGCTTCATTAATAGGGGCACAGAGTACAAGAGAGGGAGGTTATGATGAACTTTTACAGGACACTTGTTAGATCTCAGCTGGACAACTGTGTACAATTCAGGGAGATACACTTTAGAAGGACATAAACACAATGAAGAGAGAGTACAGAAGCATTTTATGAGAATGAAGTTTCTCATTCCTGAACAAGTTAAAAGGATAGATTGAAGAACTTAGGACTGCATTCCATGGAGTGGAGAAGGCCAAGTTTTGAAAGGGGTCTAAACATAGTAGATAGGGAGAATTTCAGATCGTAAGGGGTTCAAGAACCAGACAGCACAGATTTAAATTCTTTTGCAAAAACAGCAAATATGAATGAGTGAGCAGTTAGGATCCGGAATGTACTGCCTGCAAGTCTGATGACAGCGTTCTCAGTATAAAAGCAGGGTTTAGAACTATGCGATGGATATTTTTAACAATACAATCATAGACAAATTTTCAACTGACAGACTTATTAGGAGGAGTTCCAGAACTCCACTATCCCTGTACTATGACAAGGCACTCCTTACTTCACTTCTGAAGGGCTGAACTGCAAGTTTAAAAATGTGCCGCAATGTTGTGTATTTTTCCTATTTGAGATATTTTCACCGTACCCTTCCCCTGCCTAAACAAATCCCTTCGTTACTTCAGGCACTTAAATTTAGGTTGACCTCAATTTTATAAACACCAAACACAAAGTTTTACAAACTTCCCCTATAATTTAACCCTTTAAACTCACTCCTTTAGTTCATATTACATATTGCAACAATGACAGAAAAGCAAGATAGTTGGAGTCAGATCAATTTGTTACCATTAAAAACTTTGATTTCAAAATTTATTTTCACTGAGAGCTTGATAATTGTAGTAATCCAGTAATAAGAGATGCTGCACCAATGTATTAATTTCCATTTCAGCATTTGAAAGTTTAGAGAACTCAGTCCACCTTCTTTTAGTAAAAGTAAATTGACGATAAATGCTACTTTACCAAATGGAGGGTTCCAGGTGGTGGACTGGGAACCAATGCTAATTTTGCCGCAAATTGGTGAACTTTATGATCAAAGTCCACCTGATGACATGACTTCACTTGCATGGTAAGACTGAAAGAAAGACCAAGAACTTGTAAATAAATGTCAACAAAATAAAACAATTTTTAATTCTGGAAAGGGTTACTGGACTCAAAACATTAACTCTGCTTTCTCTCCACAGATGCTGCCAGACATGCTGCATTTCTCCACAGTTTCTTATTTTATATTATGCAATGTCTAACACTCCCGCAATGATAAAAATAAACTTGATAAACCCCAAACAAAACACCAGTGATCAGCATCATAGGATGGTGAGCTGAGAAATTTACACTTGGAAGTCACACTGAACAGGGGAGTGGGGCTAACTGAATTGCTCTGCAGGAAACCAGTATGGACTGGATAGGTTGAATAACCTTCATGAAGAACTTCTCTCTGCAAAGCAAAAGCAGTTTACTCACACAATCATCCCAAACTCACCTCATTAACCACCTACCCTGACCCTATGGCACCCCTCTTGTCCAACACTAACTGGATTCTACCACTCACCACAGACGAAGGAACTGCTGGGATACCCAAGAATACACTATCATCCTTGGAACCAATACCGTCTTTGAACCCTAGCTGACACCCAGCCAAGCGTTGGCTGTTTTAAGTTGCTGTTCACTATCAACGCACAATAGGTACAAATCTGCACTTCTCAATGCAATATACACAGAATAGCTGACACTTCCTTGCACATATAACTTCACTTTCCTCCCCAAATCTCTGTTTAAGTGCCAAGCCGCACAACTCACCAGTCCATAACAACATTCCATCTTGCAACAGAAACAACCTCGAAGTCAATACTACTCCTTTTCCTATACCCACTGGAGACCAGCATTTTATCATCATTAAATATGGGGTCATCATATGCAGGAAAGCCTTCAAATTATTCAAACATTTAGCTTTTATTTATCAACAATAAAAGCAAACAGAAATGAAACAAACACAAGCTGCATTTCTTTCCCAGAATACAAGCAAACTGTTCACATGTTGAGAGAAAAGTACTTTAGAGTCAATGAGTGAACACTACACCCAGCTCGAGTCTACCGGAAACAGGTGCCAATTGAGTTCTGTCTGGTTTGCAGCATCCAATGCAACTGCACTGTCATGCTGAAGGCAATGTTCTTCCTGTTCAATGTGCTCATCCTCCTCAAAAGATTGCTCCCACTCTCCCAGTTCCTCAGCATCCATCATATCCCCTCATTGCAAAAATGGAGCAGGCAGAGCACAGCATGACAGGATAATGCAGCATACTTTATCTAAAGATAACTGAAGAGTCCTGCCTGATCAGTTCACCAGCAGAACCACCAAACTGGCATGGACCCCACCTAATGTATGTGGCATAGCCAATTGGACAGTTGCGCCAGGCATAGACTATCCACACACACACCTCTTTCTCACCCCCTTCCTTCCAATATTGACACAGCACCTGACAGCCAATACCATGAGTACGCAAGATGCCAGCATGCATGAGTGGAGTGGGGGGAAACTGCCCATTGACTTTGCCTCGAGAAGTTGCTGCCAAGTGTCTAATCCAGCAGTCCTGAGAAACAAGCTGCGATTTAGAGTCACCAGGTACCCACTCTGATTCGCATGTCAGGCATTCTTGGTGTCTAGTCTCAATCTGATATATGTTAAAATAGGAACCTGACCATAAATAAAGTTCGGTAATGAGGGTGGTTATGAACAATATTCCTCCGGTAATAGGCCTCTCACCACTTACTAGCAAGAATCTCATCTCGATGTCCAAAACTCCACTGGAAAACGCAACTTATTGCTCCCAACTTCAAGAAATGCAGCACTCAACCTCCCAAAAATTCTTCCAAATTTCTCGTCATAGTTCCACATCATTCAGACTCTGGGAAGATTTCACACCAAGACCCTAATTTGTACTACACAAGATCAAATCCATGATCAAGCAAAATCCATGTTGCTAAGTAATGACTTTGTTAGAATAAATGAAACAATTGAACAACTTCTTTTGAATAGAAAACTACTTCATAATAAAAGATTTCAGTGCCAATCCATGAGAAGTTCCTGAACAGCCTACCACATCTATTTAATGTCCTTGTTTAGTTAAGTTCGACCTGCACGCAAAGGAAGTAACTGCCATTGCACGGCACAAAGTAAACTATCTAGGCCCAGGTCCTGGATCTTAGGCCCAAACATTTTCAGCTGCCTCATCAAATGACATTCCCAGCATCACAAGGTCCAAAGTTTGCTGATGATTGGTCCTAAACATTGTCTATTCATGACTCAGATGCAAACACAGTATGTGTTCATATGGAGCAAGACCTGGATAACAACATGCTTACAAGTGCCAGGGAATGACAACCTCTAATGAGACAGAATTTAAGCATTGCCCCTTGACATTCACAGTCACTGAATCTCCCACTAATAACATCCTAGGGCTATTGATCACAAATTGAACTGGACAAGCAAATAAATACCGTATTGTGACTAAAATAACAGGCTAGCAGCTCTCCCTCATGTACCTCACTTCCAGTCTCTACAATGCCTGTTCACTATCTACAAGACACAAGTCAGGAGTGTGATGTACTCTCAACTTGCCTGAATGAATGCATCTCCAGCAACATTCCAGAATCTCAACATCATCCAGGATGAAGTAGCCCACTTGATTAGCGCCACATTCACCACCATCGACATTCAACCTAACCACCACAGATGCTCAACTGCAGCAGTTTTTAAATCACTAACAAGCTGCACCACAGTAACAAAAAAGTTAACTGATATGTTAGTGCTTACCAGGACAGAGAATCCTTAAAGGCTGTAAAGTAAGGGAACTTAGATATCACACAAATACTGAACGGAGCATATAAAGACATCCTAGGCTTTTGCACAGCTGCATCCCAATGTGCTTGTCCATCTTGAAAACTCTTTTCTTCCTGTCAACAGAAGCAAAATCACATGACTCAGAGTTGCACTAACTGAACTTTATATTTTGTATGCAATCTCTGCACATTTTTCTAAAGCTAAATTTGTAAACTGTATTGCTACTCCCCAGTGAGGTAGATCTTACTTAAATAAGGAAAAAGGAAACATATCCACCAGACCCACAGTCAACCTATACAGTGCAGACTTATAATTCCTCCAAGTATAACAAATTAGATAACACTGGATTCAATAGTCAAGACATTAGTCAGTGACAAAGAAAAGCTTATGTAAAAGGGGAAAAACAGGGAATGGATATCCAAACTATTACCTTAAATGAAGCAAAAATTACAGCTCAAGAGAAATGCTGGAAGATTCCTGGAAAGCAAAGTAGGAAAGTAAGGAAGCAGCAGAGGTGGCAGACTGCAGATACAGTGGTCAGTCACTTATTTCTAACAAAACTGGACAGCTCTCTCAGGAGGCTGGGATTTAAGGTGAGGTGTAGTAAGAGTGGAAGGGACTGTGATGATGCTATGGCTTTAAGAGGTGTACTTTGTCCTGGCTTTTCTTATGAACAGAGGTTGAGACGGGTGTGCCAAGCAAACTATGTCAAGCCAATACAGTAAAAGACTTGAGGCCTTTGGTTTTGTTTTAAAAAGTTGGAATAACAGAAGCTGCCTTAAAGGGTGGGGTCAAGCTTCCACAGAACCAGGAGTTTTACCTTTCACTAGCTGTTGGGATTGTAAAAGCTGCTACATTTCTCTCTCTCTCTCTTTGGCACAGCTAAAAGCTCGAGTTCTCCTCCTGCTGCTAGAATTGCATGAGAGACTATCTCTATGTATTTTACTGACTTTGCCTTTGCCAAGGGTGTGTTTAGTGGATGTTAAATTGGAGGAGAGCCGGTTTAGCTCAAACGTCTGGACGGTTGCGTTGGGAAGCAGTGTGATGTAACCAGCATGAATTCAATCCCCATGTCTGCTGAGGTTACCACGAAGGACTGTCTTCTCAGCTTCTCCCCTCACGTGAGGTATGCTGGCCCTTGGGTTAAATCACCACCATTAAATGAGAGCGCAGCCCTATCGTCTGGTAAGGCTACAGCAACTTGCCCCATTATATTAGAACAGCTAATGAGTATTTTATTATTTTGTTAAGTATTTCGATTGTTACAGTTAAGCCAATTCTTTTATTTTATTTTTGTTTTGTCTGTATCAATAAAGCGTGTTTTGCTTAAGCCTGGTTGTTTGACCGATTGAACTGCATCCAGAACACAATGCCTGGCACTTGCCTCTAAAATAAGAAAAAGTTAGGTTCTCGGCCAACTCCTTGACATGTTTTGAGGGGTTTTGGTCTGGTCCATAACAGGACACAAGGAAAATCTTTTTCACCCAGAAGGTGGTGGTAGTCGTCAGTTAGCTCTGTTGGCAATGCAACTGGCTGAGGTCATCATAAAGGTCCTACCTATTCAATGGTGCCGCATTGGTTGGTGAGCCTCATGCTAAAGTCACCTACACTATGACAATAGTGAGAGAGATTATGACAATTTTACCTTTACCTATTTACAAACCCCTACACTCAGCTCTCTCTGATGAGAGACTACGACAATTCTACCTTTACCTGTTTACAAACCACACTAGTAAGGTAATACATCACATCAAAATATGTAAAATTTAATTGTCAATTCCATCACAAAGGTCATCAAATATCAACAAGTGGAAAGCTCCCACAGTTACCCTTTACAATGCTGGAAATCCTTGCATCGATATGCAAGTGATTAGTGCACCGACTAGCACATATTTATTCACCCAGCTACTGTACCAATTCCCGATGTGGTTGGCATCCTGTACCAGTTGATCAGGCCAAAGAAATATAACACTTTGCACCTTGGTTTGAGAATAATCAGCAATTCAGTACTTCTAACTGGCAACAGCCTAGTTGGGATAAATTGCAGAAGATAAAAATTTTCTCTAGAAACCTCCAGGTATGAATCTATACACTGTATTTTGATGCATACTTTACATACCTGAATAGGCCTATAAAATTGCACTACCACACCATAGGTTCTTGCTCCAAAAACATCTGTGAACACCAAGAAGTGGTAGTGATCCTCCTTTGGTTCAGTTTCTATTTGCAGTTCTCCTGTAAATAAACAATCAATATTGTAGAGAATACTTGTCAACACTTCGGTCCCAGAAAACGTTTGTTGACATAACTGGCATGATCGTCTAAAAAGGTTCTGCTGAACGTGGGATCTATGCCCCACGCAGTTCCTTTAAATTTTAAACACTGGCTTCAAACATGTCCACTGGCCGGAATTCCAATTTGATTTCAGAAAGATATACAAGTACTCAGCACCAATCATTGCATTGTATTGCACTGTACCACACTCTATGACCAGGAAAGCTACAAGCTTTAAGTCCTGTCAGACTTCATCTGCACAACTCAACAAAAAAATCTTCAGCGATAGTAGGAACTGCAGATGCTAGAGAATCTGAGATAACAAGCTGAAGGAGGGTCTAGGCCCGAAACGTCAGCTTTCCTGCTCCTCTGATGCTGCTTGGCCTGCTGGGTTCATCCAGCTCTACACCTTGTTATCTCAAAAAATCTTCAGCACCAGGTGTGATAACTCCAGAGATAAGGATTTCCCTGAAGTTTACCCGACTGCAGGGACACGGGATCAAGTGCTCAGTCTTGCTTTTAGGGTTGGTAGAAGGCACAAAGTGCTCAAATCCGGCTCCCAAATCATAAACTGTGTTTCCTCCCTGAGCAAACAGCAGGAGAAACTGAACCAGTCACACCAGAAGCAATAGTGCCAAAAAAAATGGCCTCACGCAATCTCATTTTATGAAGGTTAAACGTATTGTTAAAACAGGATTACCAGATGAACTTTATCTTATTAAACTCAATGGATCAAATGGCATACTTTTGAGACAACCGTGCTGTAGTCATTTCCGCTGGCCTGACCAGGTGTGTGCTCGCGCGCACGCGCGTGTGTGTGTGTGTGTGTGTGTGTGTGTGTGTGTATAGAGATTAGGAGGGAGGTGTGTGTCTGTATAGAGACGTGGAGGGAAGTGTGTGTGTCTGGGTGTGTGCGTGTGTGCGTGTGCGTCCCACCCCAACAGCTGCAAGCCAATCAGTGGCATTATGCCTCACTGGGGCGGTGTGCCGAGAATTGAGCCCCACTAACTTTTGTGATTATTCCAGGAATAAAAATATTACAAAACCATGCAAACCTTCCCAATTTGCTTGTCTCTTACATCAAGTATGACAAAAAGCATTGCCTAGGCTTCTATGATTAAGAATTACTATTTATTAAAAATAGAATTGATTTATTTGTATGAACCATCCATATGTAACTCTGTCTTAAACTTCTAGCCCCATTATAAAACTTTCCCTACAGACATACAAACAGTCATACATACAGACACAAAACAATGCGCAGGTAGAAAGGCTGGGAAGGCAGTTCAATTGTCCCTGTCCACAGTTTTTGTTTTTCTTTTTGTTTTGTCAGGACTTGCTGCTCCTCCATCTTCCTTCTCCAGGTACTTACACTTTTGCAGGAGTCACAGGGCAACCTATTCACACTTGTAATGTTTCTGACTTATTCGTTAGAAGTGGCAGATTACAATAACCGATGAGGGGAAATAACCTGTCTTTCTTCAGGCTTGACATGTTTTTACTGCAGAGAGAAGAACTTTTTTTCTCTTTCCAGACGTCCAATGGCTTCACAAAAAACATTCAAACCACAAGATGTTCAGCTACCTGAGAAACAATCACGTAGTTATTAGCTGGCAGAAGGTCTTTGTCATCAACAATGAGTCATCGTTCCCCAGACCAATCAGCTATTTGCTGCTGGCCAATCTCCATTCATACACAATTCTTGGCTCCAGCTCATCTGCAACTAGACTTCCCCATCACTGCTTGAACAAATAGCAACATAAACTGCAATTACAACAAGTGTTAGGCTTTTATAAAGTGGAGTAATCCTTTTCACAACCCCTGGCTTTTTAAAACAATCCTTCTCCCATTTTGGGCCCACAAAAAACAGAAAATTAATTTTTAAAAAATTGTTTTTACAGTGGCCTGTAAGCCAGCGTTACTGCAAGTAGTGTCCACTGCTGGTACTACAGAGGCTCAAGTTGCAGGATTATATTTTGAGCCCCATGAGGTCTTCCCATCGCTATTCAATTAAATGTGAGGTGAGCAGGAAAGCAACAGGGTCTCTACGTCACTCCTTCTTGTCTAATTAATGGGTGCTCAGTCTTCAGAGGTATATTATAAATTCTGTCCATTATTTAACTTCAATTGTCAAACCACATGGGTGTACAAATACACAAATTAGAAGAAAGTATCTCTTCAGCTTTTCCAACCAGCTATATCATTCAATAAGATCACACTGATCTAATTGTAATCTCAAATCCACATTCATGTCTACCTCTGCTAATCACCAAGCTCTTGTTAGTCAAGAATCTATATATCTCTATCTTTACTTTTAAAGGTACTCAATGTTCTCACCAATACCTCCCACTTTGGGAAAAAGAATTCCAAAGAATTGTGACCATTTGAGAGAAGAGAATTCCTCTTCTCGTCTTCATACAGTTTAAATGCCTCATGATTTCCAATGATCATTGAAAACTAACAAATTTAATGTGATATGATAGTAAACATCACAGAAACAAGTTAGTTATTTTGAAATGCTTCTGACTTAAATGTAAACTAAAACAATACTGTGGCTTTAACAATAGAATGATTAAGCGCAAAATATATTAAAACTTGAAGGAAAAATGAGGACCATAGGAGCATTGTTTGAGTAACTCAGCATAAGAGAGCCTTCAGCTCATCATGTCCATACTGATCATCAAAAATCTGTCAACTCTAATCCTATTTCTTAGCACTTAGCTCATAGCCTTGTGCACTACAGCATTTTAAATGCTCGTCTAAATATTTCTTAAATATCATGATGGTCCCCAGCTCTATCACCTTTCAGACACAGTGAGTCTGAGATAATCACTCACCAGGTGAAAAGAAATTCTTAAATCCCCTTCAAACCTCCTGCCCCTTAGCTTAAATAATTTAAATGCTTAATTAATAATTATATTTAATTACTCAAATCTAAGGCGCTCTATAAAGGGAACAAGTTTACTCCCATCATCTCTCTCTATACCCTTCATATTTTGTGCCCATTGATTATTATTATCTCAGTTAAGCATTTGATGTGGCAGAAACAAGTTTTAGTGCTTTTCCTCAGCACATAATCTTGTCAGCCTGCAACAATTGGTTATGGGCGGCTCCTTGAAGTGGAAGAGTGACATGTTTCAGATCAAAGATAATTTTTAACAAAATTGATGTTTCTCTTTGCAGCATCACTGAGATTAGCAAAATTTCCTTTGTTAGGGAGCTGTTTGGATGAACATCAATGAAAACAAATGATAACTTTTTTCAGATGTTCTTTGTGAATGCATACTACTGAAGGAAATGGACGACAGTCTGTTCCCACCTCTGATGTTCACGAAGGATTGGAAGGGCCTTTTCATCACAGCCCAGCTATATCCTTGTTTGCAATTTCTACTAACAAGGTATTCTGTCGAATAATTTTGACAATCAATCAGTCAGGAACCATCCAGCAAGATCCATTACCCTCCTGTTTCCCTGTAGAGCATCAACCACTACCTGATTGACTTTGGTCAAATAAGTTTTCTGCATAAACATTTCAATAAAAAGTCAAATGGTATAACTGTCCAACTGAACAATGCATTCCATGGCAAAATAGCCAGACCCCATTTCTCCCAACACTAGGAACAAAATGAAACATAATGCATGGCAAGACTTGGTGTTTGTACGTCAAGAATCTTCAGATGAAGGTAATATCAGGTGTTTTATTGCCCCTTTATCCCAAAACATATACATCATCATGTCCCTGGGACATGGTTTATTTTTGATCTTCAGATAAAGCCCAAGGTGATTCAGGTAACCGCTACAGTATGTGTCAGACTTTCATCACATAGCACAACACCAGTAGCTAGGTTCATCAGGTTCTTACCACACTCCAAAGCATATTTCTAGTGCCTTCAGAAAATTCTGTACCAAGAGTGAAGATGTAAAATTGATACCTTACCCTAGGTCCCAGTGTTATGTCAAATTGGTTTCAGATATTCAGCATTTTGTAGAATGAAGAAGATCCAAGCAGAAGATGGACTCAGATTTGATACAAAACATGAAGACAGAGGAGCAATGACAGCTTTGCTGGACCCCAGATTTGACTGTAAAGCTTTTCAATTTCCATTAATTCTGGATTAAGTGATTAAAATTGAGAGACTGATATCTGTGCATTGTAATTGGAAACAACTTTAGATTCCCTCATCAAATCCCATTTTGGAAAGCATATCTATCAGAGCACTTTCATCCAAACCGGGTTTTCAAAGTTGTGGACTGTGCTCTAAATCCTAAACCAAGATGATTAAGTACCTACCTCCCGGTATCTACACAAGCATACATAATCGAAATTTATTGCATAACTCTGCTAAATTGGGAATTCACCACAAAACAGGTGAAAAATTGAAAAATGTGTCACCGTATTAGGTATAAAGTGGTTTCAAAGTAGGATGTGATAAGGAGTAAAGTGATTGATGTTCAAATATAAACAAAATACCTGGGAAACATAATTGAGGCAATCCTTGGAGATCAATGTTATTTGGAATGCTAATCTCTTCAGTCTGTGGCTCTTTATGATTTGCATTTGTATTGCTTAGGGCAGATGTTGAATGCTTAAAATCTTTTTTCTTCCTGAACGAGCGATGTCTTGAAGTTTTGGTAAAACTTTGAGCAATGTGACTAGAGTGGCTGATGTCTCTAGTGACAAATGGAGGAACATGAGCTGACCGAACCTCTGGGATAAGACAAATATGTGACTGAGCATCATCTTTTTGGACTACCTAAAAGGAAAAAGACAAACCATTGCTGCATACAAACATTACTCAAAAATATAACTGATCTTGTTATGACCACTTCCAACATTAAATCAAGTAAAGTAACAGCTTAATTTATGATCGTATCTACAAAAAATAAAATGATTTCTACATCAAATATCTCCAACTGACCATAAACTCTGAAAATTTAGATTGTTCACAATCCAACAATTCAAGGTGGGAAAGAAGCTTTGAGAGCAAGAGTTTCAGAATGCGCATAACACAGTAAAAGAGAGCATTGATAAGGATAATGCAATCGATTTAATACATTTGGAACTCCAAAAGCCAATTAATAAAACGCCTTAGCCAATTAATAAAATGCCACTAAAAGTCTTGTCAGCAAAGTTGAAGGGGTCCGTGCACACATTGATATGAAGTTTTTGAGTAACAGGAAACAGTAATGCATGTTTAATTTTGGATTAAGTCAATTTGGATTAAGAGTTTACAGTGAGATTTCCTAGCAGTCCAAATGGCCTCTGCTTCACTTGATCTGTATGGATGGTTTAACTTGATGGTGCACAGCACAAATTTCAAAATATACATATGGTACTTAATTGAAAGTATTGTGAACCATGAGGAACATAAGGACAAGAAATCAAAAACGAAGTAAATGAATGGATTGGGAATGCATTCAGTAGATGAAATGTAATACTGAGAAATGTTTTGAGATATATTTTGGTAAGAACAATGTGGAAAGGCAACATAAAAGATACAATTCTACTGCAGGAATAGATGGATCTGGGTGTGTGTGTGTGCACAATCATTGAAGGTGATAGGTAGAAAAACAGTTAATAAGGTCAACTTGATCCTAGGCTATACAAGTGGTAAAAGAAGAAATACTGAATCTCTAATGGCACATTGGACTAGCGAAAACTATGTCCAATTCAGGGCACCACACTTTAGGAAGAATGAAAAAGCACAGGAAAGGAAGTAGAGCAAGTTTACAAGAATAGTTTCAGGAATGAGAAACTTCAGTTATGCGGATTGGCAGTTGAAGCTGAGGCTGTTCTCTTTATAGGGGAGGTTGAAAGATTTGTTAGAGGTGTTTAAAATCATAAGAAGTCTGGACACTGTAACAGGAGGAAACCAGTGAAAGTCAAGAATCATCGAATAAAAAACTAGAAATTAGCAAAACAACAAACGCTAACACATGACAAAAGGAAATCTTTAAAGAATGAGTCATAAAGAGGAAGCACAGTGGCTCAGTGGTTAGCACTACTACCTCACAGCACCAGGGACCTGGGTTCAATTCCACTCTCGGGGCTACTGTCTGTGTGGAGTTTGCACATCTTCCCAGCGTCTACATGGGATTTTTCCAGGAGCTCTGGTTTCATCCCACATTCCAAAGACGTGCAGGTTTGATGGACTGACTGTGCTAAATTGACCATAGCGTCCAGGGATGTGCAGACTAGCCATGGAAAATGCAGGATTACAGGGTTGGGATAAGGTTGGGGTGGGGTCTGAGTGGGACACTCTTCGGAGGGTCAGTGTGGACTTGACTGGTCAAATGGCCTGCTTCCATACTGTAGGAATTCTATGATAATTGAATCGACTGCATTGAAGTCTGATGGAGACAATAGGCAAATAGGGCTTCAAAAAAGAAGGGAATTAGATAATTATCTGAGCAAAAGAAAAATTACACAGAAACAAAGGGACTGGGGATACCTGATTACGTTTACGTAGAGAAGGAATGAACTAAATGTCCCCTCCTGTGCTGTAATGATTCTACGTCATTACTCACAGGGAGATAGGAAGAAATCAGTAGCATACAGTGTGGTGAATATCAACTGGTAAAAAATACACTCACTAATAAATTTTAAGCACTCAGTTACCGTACCAAGAACTAGTGTCAAATGAAATACAACAGCATCAAAAATAAAACAGATGATTCAAGAGCAGAAGCTGAGCAATTCAAATGTAAACCTTTTTAAAGTAAAAGTAAATGTAATAGTTGGAGGGGCACTTAGATGTTCCAATCTAGACCCCGGATCCTTTGATCTTTTTATAACAAAGAAATTCACCTGGCATATTTCCTTCAGTTTTTCATCAGATGCTCCCACAACGACACAAATTTCTAATATTGCATTCGGCAGGACATCAGCCATGATTGCTTCGTCTTCCAACACCCTTAGCTGGAGAGTTAAGCAGGAGGGAAAATGTGAAACATTAAAACCTTATTTGTAGTTTACTGAATCTTTGACAATCTGTCACTGAGGATTTAAACAGCATACAAATCTTATTTAAATGTATAACACTGCACAATAATTGTGTTTAATCTAGCAAAAATTAGATTAGTCAAAGTAAAAAAACTTTTTTAGTTTTAAAAAAAACTAGATTCTTAGTTCAAGTTTTTTTAATTTAATTCACTTGCTGGGTGTACTTTTGTCTGTCATTTTACATAAATGATTTAGATAGGAATATAAAAAGCCATGGTTAGTAAGTTTGTGGATGACACCAAAATTGGTGGTCATCTGCTATGTTGGGATTCAAACCTGGGTTCCCAAAACAATCCTGGTGTCTCTGGATCAACAGTCCAGTGATAATACCACTAGGCCACTGCCTCCCAGTTTATCACTCCATCACCCATTTCTCCTTTGTGTCAAAAAGAGAGTATTTTAAAAATGTTGAAGCAGAAGTGAAAATGTAAGATTTCCTGCACAAGTTACATAAGAAGTGTTTACACCACACAGTGTACACTGTGGATCCTTGCCCCAAACCTGAGAAGATGCATCAAGGAAACAAAAGCACAATACTACTTGCAATTGTCCAGTTGAGAAATGCATACTCTCTGGTGGGGGTGGGGGGAGGGGCAGTAACAGGAGTGCGCATGGATGAGTAATCACACAAAAAGATGCACAGACTCTCTCACACACATAATACAATTCTCTAATTTGTAGAAGACAAACATTGGCTATAGTGTTTCATGCTTCCTCTCATGCCACCTTCAGAAATTACTGCTAATATGATTATTAATCTCTGCAATCATGAAATGCTACAACAGGGGCCATGGAAAAAAGAATAAGCAGAATGGGGTGCAGAAACAGCAGTACAGAAAGCCAAGCACTTGAGCAACAAAGAATCAGGTCAAAGCAGGGGGTGCGGTGCGGCAGGAAGCTCAACAGTTTCTGCAAAATAAGACGAATTAGTTCCATAAATAATTCCAAGTCTTACATTTAAAAGGCTGCCAAAGCTGTGGTTTAGTTTGCAACATACGTGCCTCTGCATAAAATGGTTGTGGATTCCAGTTCCAATGGGAAGACTTGAGCATGAAAATCTAGGCTGCGAATCCAATGCAGTACTGAGAAAATGCTGAACTACTGAAGTTGGTAACTTCTGAACGAAATGGGAAACTGATGTGCACTATAGCCAGAATATCCTTCTTCCGATAAGAAGACCAAAATTGCACAAAATACTCCAGATGTGATCTCACCAAAGCCCTGTACAATTATAGGAAGTCATCCCTGCTCCTAAACCAGAATCCTCTTGCTTTGATGGCCAACATACGTTTTGCCTTCTTCACCACCTACTGCATGCGTACACTTACTTGAAGCGACTGGTGTACAAGGACACCAAGGTCTCATTGCACCTTCCCCCTTTTATCTCTAATACCCTGCCTTCCAGTTTTTGCCAACAAAGTGGATAATCTCACATTTTTCCACATTATACTTAATCTGCCACGTACTTGCCTACTCACTCAACTTGTCCAAATCAATATGAAGCCTCTCTGTATTCTCCTCAAAGTTCACCCTCCCACCCAGCTTTGCATTGCCTTGAAATCTGGAGATATTACATGTAGTTCCCTCATCTAAATCATCAACATATTGTTGTGAACAGCTGAGGTCCAAGCTCTGATCCATGCAGAACCCCATTAGTCACTGCTTGCCAGTTGAAAAAAGAACGATTTATTCTCACTGTTTCCTGTATGCCTACCACTTCTCTTTCAATGTCAACACACTATACCCAATTGCACGTGCTTTAATTTTACATGCTAATCTCTTATATGGGATTTTATTGAACGTCTTCTGAAAGTCCAAATAAACCACATCCACTGGTTCCCCTTTATCAACTCACTTGTTTCATCCTCAAAAATTCTAGTGGAGTTGTCAAGCAAGGATTCCCTCAACCACCCCTCCGCCATTATAATCCATATTGACTCTGTCATACCCTGTCACAGATCTCCAAGTGTTCTGATCATAATCTTTTATCATGAACTTTAGCATTTCGCCCACTACCAATATCAGGCTAACAAATCTATAATTCCCTGTTTTTCTCTCTACCTCCCTTTTCAAATAGTGCAATTGCATTAGCTACCCTCCAATCCAAAGTAACAATTCCAGAGTCTATAGAATCTTAAAAGATGACCACTGATACATTCATTATTTCAAGGGCCACTTCCTTAAGTACTCTGGAATTGTAGATTATCGGGGTCTAGGGATTTATTTACTCTTAATCCTACCAATTTCCCCAACACATTTCCCAACTTCACCAGTTGCTCTCTAACCAGACCATGTGACCCCAATGACTTTGGGATCTTATTTATGTCGGCCTTTATTAAAACAGAATCATAAATTTAATTAGTCTGCCATCTCTTTTTTCCCCATTATAAATTCTACTGTTTCTGATGATATGGAACATACATTTGTCTTTACCATCTTTTTCTCTTCACATTCCTATATAGATGCTTTTACAATTAATTTGTATGTTACCCACAAGCTTGCTTTTGCACTTTATTTTCCCTCCCTTATTCAATACTTACATTAAGATGGCGGCAGGGTAAGTTGCTCCATTCGGACCTCCGCTCTGCTCGCCAGTTCTCTTTCTTTCTTTGTCTTTTTTTTTCTCTCCCTTCTCTCTCCCTCTTAGTAATTCTATCCCCCCTACCCCTTTTAACTACATACCTAAAGAGTTGGGAAGGAGCCGGGTCGTGACCGGGAACCACGTGGCAGGAGCTAAATGCACCGGTTGTGTCCTGCAGTGACAGCAGATTGAGTGTGGGCCGGAGCAATGGCGGCAGATCAAGAGTGGGCTGGCGAGAGCAGGCTGTGAGGCAGCCCAGAGCGGGATTCTGGCAGAAGCATGGTGAGAGCTGGAAAGCCTGGAGCAGGACTGTAGCAGTGGAAAGGAAAGTTGGAATCTCTTAAGTTATTTTTTTTTTACCCTTGTCTTATTCTAAGTTAATGTGAATGGCGCCATGTATGTACGGCGAAGGTACGCACTTTTCCATGTATTTTCACATAGAATAGATGTGACAATAAATAAATGATTCAATGATGATCACTTAGCCCTCCTTTGCTGAAATCTAAACTGCTCCCAATCTTCAGGTCTGTGTTTTTTTGTCCAATTTGTGTGCGCTTCCTTGGATCTAATACTATCCCTAATTCCCCTCGTTAGCTGTGGTCAGACCACCTTTTCTGTTTTATTTTGTACAATTGTTGCAATCCCTCTATGCGCTCTTTAAATGTTTGCAACTGTCTATCCACCGTCATCCCTTTAAATATTGTTCCCCAATTAATGATAGCCAGCTCACGCCTCAAACCATTGTAGTTCCCTTCATTTAGATTCAGGACACTAGTCTCAGAATAAACTGTGTCACTCCACCTTAAATCATAAATTTTATCATAGTCTGTTTGCTTTTCCCCCTAAGGGGTTTTGCACAGCTAGATTGCTAATTATTTTTGTCTCATTATGCTATACCCAGTTGAGGATGGCCTGTTCTCCAGTTAGTTTTTTGATGCAGAAAACCATCCCATACACCCTTGAGCAATTCGTCTACGACAGTATTGTTACTCATTTGATTTGCCCAATCTACTTGCAGGTTAAAGTCGCTCACCTTTATTGTCTTTATTTTGTTAGATTGAAGAAATAATTGCAATACCATTACTGTTCTAAGGAAAGGTCACCGGACCTGAAACATTAACCCTGATTTTTTTCTTCATGGATGCTGCCAGACCTGCTGAGCTTCCAGAAACTTCTATTTTTGTACCATTACTGGGTGTATTCTTGAGGTTATTGATTACTGGGGAAAACATGAAACAGCAAGTTTGTCACAGAAAACAATACATGAGGTTCAAAGTCAGTCCAACCCATTTATGCCAACCAAGTTTCCCAAACTAAACTAGTCCCATTTGCCTGCATTTGGCCCACAATCTTCTAACCCCTTCCTATTCATGTACCTGCCCAAATGTCTTTTAAATCTTGTAATTATACCTACATCTACCACTTCCTCTGGTAATTCATTCCATATACAAACCAGCCTCTGTATGAAAAAGTTGCCCCTCAGGTTCCTTTTAAATCTTTCTCCTCTCTGCTTAAAAATTACGTCCTCTAGTTTTGAACTCCCCAACCGTAGGGAAAAGACCTTTGCTATTCAACTTATCTATGTCCCTCACGATTTTATAAATCTCTATAAAGGTCGGCCCCAAACCTCCTAAGCTCCACAGTAAAAAGCCTCTCCTTATAACTCGGACCCTCCAGTCGTGGTAATCTTTTCTGCACCCTTTCCAATTTATTAACATCCTTCCTATAGCAGGGTGACCAGGACTGTACATTGTACTCCAAAAGTAGCCTCACCAATGTCCAACTTGAGTTATTGCAATACAGACTGGGTTAATAATGTGTAGCTGAGAGGAACAACAGTTTCTGACATAGACTAAGGAGAACTTTATTGAAAGTACATTTCTGCCCAACAAGGAAGTTAGCTTTGGTAGTTTGGTGTTGGGAAAAAGTAGGTCAAATAGAGAAACCTTCAGTATGGGAACATTCAAGTAACAGTGATCACAGTATCATAAATTTTAGATTAGGAAAATGCCAATGAAAGATTAAAAAGGGAAAAGTTTAGGTTAGGAACATAGAGGGCAGGTGTAAACTGAAGTCAAAGATTTGACTTGTAAAACATACATTGGACAAGGCTTTTCAAGAGAGTTATATTTCAGGTGCAGTCTGTGTATATTCCCACAAGAAGAAAAAGGCAAGGGAACTAAAACAAGAGCTCAATGAATAACAAAAGAGATAAAGAGTAAGACAAAACTGAGAAAGGGTGCTAATGACAGATGTCAGATTGGTAATACCAATTGATACAGAAATCACAGATCTGAAATGGGAATTCAACTTCTTCTTTACTGAAGTTAAGAAATTCCAGCATTTTCAGTTTTTATTTCAAAGTTCCAGTATTCTCAATGTTGTGCTCATGCTGCCATAGGCTGGACCTTGATAAAGAGTAGGTATAGAAAACACCAGTTATACTTAAAGTTACTCTGGTTCAGATTAGATGCTAAGAGAAGCAAGGGTGGAAAGTGCAGAGATATAATCTATAATCTTTCAATCTTTGGATCAAAGGTGATGCCAGAGGGCAGGGACAAATGATGCAGTAGCTAAATGCAACAATGCAACCTGCGAGTTCCAAAGAATCCATAGAATCCCCACAGTGTGGAAACAGGCCTTTCGGCCCAAAAAGTCCACACCGTCCCTCAGAGCATCCCACACAGACACATTCCCCAAACCCACCTAATCTACACACTCCTGCACACTATGGGCAATTTAGCATGGCCAATCCACCTAGCCTGCACATCTTTGGACTGTGGGAGGAAACCGGAGCACCCGGAGGAAACCCACCCAGACACAGGGAGTACGTGCAAACTTCACACAGACAGTTACCCAAGGGGGAAATTGAACCCAGGCCCCTGGCGCTGTGAGGCAGCAGTGCTAACCACTGAGCCACCGTGCCACCCCCAATTAGAATGTCAGGAGTCCCAACTTTGAATTATATCATTGATCTTTTGCTGTCAATGGGTCAACAACTTTCTAACTACATAGTGACTATTTACCTACATACCAAGGGCTATAGCAGTACAATGTGGCGGCTCAGCACTACTCTTTGAATGGCAATTAGGTTGTGCAATAAATGCTGATCTAGTTAGCAATACCCAAAACTAAAATAAAGATGAATTGCTAATGTTACACTCTTGGTTTAAAAAGAGATATAAACATAAACCTAGCAACTATTCACTAGTCAATTTAACCTCTGTGGTGGGGAAGCTTTTAGATACAATAATCTAAACAAAATCATTGCATGGAAAGATGTGGAATAATTAAGGAAAGCCAGCATAAATATGTTAAAAGAAAAATTAAATTTAACTATTGAAGAACTGAAATCCGAACTCTGCTTTTCTCTTTCCACAGCTGCTGCCAGATCAGCTGTTTTTCAGCATTTCTGTTTATATTCACAGTTATTCCTAGAGTAGTACAGCACAGAAACAGATCCTTTATCCAATCAGACCATGCCGAACATAATCCCAAACTAAACTAGTCCCACCTGCCTGCTCCTGGCCCATATCCTTTCAAACCTTTCCTATACATGTACTTATCCAAATGTCTTTTCAAGGTTGTAACTGTGCCCACATCCAGCACTTCCTCAGTAATTTCATTCCACACGCGCACCACCCTCTGTGTAAAGAATTGGCTCCTCATGTCTTTTTTAAATCTCTCCCCTCTCACCTTAACAATATGCCCCCTAGTTTTGAACTCCCCCATACTTGGGAAAAGACAACTACCATTCATGTTATCCATACCCCTCAAGATTTTAATAAACTTCTATAAAGTCACCTCTCAACCTCGTATGCTCCAGTGAAAAAAGTCCCGACTAACTTGATTTTTTTTGAGGCGGTAACAAAAATTGGATGAAGGAAGTGGTATACTAAAACTTCTAAAAAGAGATAACAAGAACTGGATGAAGGAAGTGGTGTACAAAAACTTCTAAAAGGCATTTGCTAAAATGTCACAAAATAAACAAGTCAGCAAAGTCAAATATAAAAAAAGACAGCAAATGAAAAACTGACTAAAGGACAGGAAACAGTCATGATGAATGCCCTTCTCCAAACTGGATGTGGTGGGGTTCACATGAGTCAGTACACAGATCACAGTTTTTCCTGATGTTTAATACTGATTTGAATTCTGGTTTACAAGGCATAATTTCAACACTTCAGATAACGCAGACTTGGAAATATATTGAACAGGGAGGAGGATTATTGACTTTCAAAAGATATAAGCAGCTAATAGTATGGGCAAGCACATGGGAGACAAAATTTCTCATAAATGTGAAGTGGTTTATTTTGGTACAAAAACAGACAGAAAGAGCAAGAGAAACTAAAGAACACATTAAAGGGGCATAGAACAGAAACACCTGAGTGTGTATGTTCAGAGATCACTGACGTTGGCAGGAAAAATCTAATAATTGATTAAAAGACATTCAAGATGATTGGTTTTCTAAATATAGGCACAAATTCCAAAATTTCAAATTAGGACAAGTTTTGATGATTCTTTATAAAACAGAGTGAGGCAAGCTGGATTGTTCTTGCAGAAACTAGCACAGACAACAGTTCAAATGGCCTCCTTTTTGTACTGTAACATTCCATGATTCAATTATGTAAAAATACCGTACAGATCTGCCATTACAAAAACACCACCCATTAAGTAGAGCTTGACTTACTCAATTATTTCATGGCTCTGTATTGTGTCCTACTGGCATAACTTTTGAATCATTAACACAGAATATCCTGATGGTTACATACCCAAGTATTATCAGAACCAAACGACCAGCAGACGAGTAGGATTCCAAGCATCCTAGCAAATGATATGAAAGCCTGAAACATTGCTTTCCTCGCTTGGGACATATTAGCCGATGTCAAAAGAAAAAAGTGGTGACATCAGCTGTGATAACCGGAGTGCATCACCTTAACGATTAATGAAAACTGTGGTTTGACGAAAGGTGACAACACCGAACACGACAACCTACAACAAAAACAAAGTTGCTGGAAAAGCCCAGCAGGTCTGGCAGCGTCTGTGAAGGAAAAAACAGAGTTAATGTTTCGGGTCCGGTGATCCTTCCTCAGAACCTACAACAATGTTTGATGGACAACGCTTCCAAAAGACCTAAGGCAGCATCTCACAGATTGGTAAAAACCGAAAGAACTGCGGACGCTGAAAATCAGAAACGAAAATAAAAATTGCTGGAAAAGCTCAGCAGAACTCAGTTCTGAGGAACGGTCCCTGGACCCGCAACATTAACTCTGATTTCTCTCCACAGAAGCTGCTGAGCTTTCCTGTTTTGTTTTTGTCACAGACTGGTTTCTTCAGCCATAGGCACCATATCCATAGCTGACTATCTATAATCTTTCGAAAGAAAGTTATTGAAGAAAGCTGATGACCAAGAATATCATTTGAAACAATGTCAACAATGCTACAAGACAGGAGAATTAATTTCCTTCTTCAAGTTAAAACACACACACATATATTCTTGCATCTTGCACGAATTATTGCGGTGCCGACACCTTTTGATATCTTTTGAAAAATATCGATAACTTTAAATTCATTCATTTGCCATAAATAAACATTGGATCAACTTCCAGAGAAGGACTGGCGATGAAGGAAATTCGGTTTCTGTTTGGTGCGAGGGATCCAAGTTCGCAAACTGTGCAGCACAGATAATCAAAAAATATAGCGTGAGGGAAAGTTTGAAGCGCATGGAAGTACACGGCGAATGAAAGCGAACTAAGTACTTACAAAAGATGTCTAATGGGGATTGTGAATAGCCATGTACAGGAGCCGCAGTCGAAGTAACATCAATAAAATTGCAAGAGTCCAATTGTTCAACTGCACCGACGCGGTTCAAACAGCAAAATAACTTTCATCCATCAACAGCTGGCAGCATTCCCCGACTATCAAACCGAAACCAAACGATCATCGCTTCGCAGGTTTACTTCAAGCAAGAAGAAATACTTCACATTCCCGACATTGTCTTTGCCTCGCCGGCCTTCGCTTCACAGCTGGATCAGTGACAACGCTTCGCCGCGTCCAAAGCGGACTGTGGCTATTCCTGTGATAACAAGGTGCAGAGCTGGATGAACACAGCAGGTCAAACAGCATCAGAGGAGCAGGAAGGCTGACGTTTTGGGCCTAAACCCTTCCTGCTGCGCTTGCCCGGCAGCTCCGGCTCCCGCGCATGCCAGTTTGGCCCTGGCCGCTCGGATTTAAAATCCGTGTTCCAACGGGCGGCGGAGCGGGAAAAGAGGGTATGTCTACCTGAGGGTCGCGTCGTCAAGGAGTGCACGTTTAAAGGTGGTGGAAAAGCTCGGGAAGCTAGGTCAGCCAACGATTGCACTGCATTCTTGAATAGCCACACTCCATATCGACCTAGTTGCTGTTCGGGAGAGAGTTGCTCGTCCAGTGGTGTGTTTGGTTGCAGATGTTTCGTCACCCTGCTAGGTCACGCCGTCTGTGCGCCTCCGGTGTTCTGTCCCGCTTCTTATTTATATGCCTCGGATTGCTGGGGTGGTTGACATTGGGTCTAATTCAATGTGTTTCTTGGTGGAGTTCCAGTTGGAATGCCAGGCCGCCAGGAATTCCCTGGCATGTTTCTGCTTGGCTTGTGCTATTATGGATGTGTTGGCCCAGTCGAATTTGTGTCCTTCCTTGCATATATTGAGACCAGTGAGAATTGGTTGTGTGTCTTGGCGGCTGATTGGTGTTCGTTTATCCTTATCAGTTTTCTTCTGGTTCGGCCTATGTAAGGTCTCTCACAATCCTTGCATGGTATTTTGTAAATTATGTTAGTTTTATTGGTTGTGGGATCCTTAACGTTTGTCAGTAGCTGTTGCAGGGTGCTTGTTGGTTTGTGGGCTAACCTGACACCTAGGAGTCTGAGTAGTCTTGTGGTCATCTCTGATGTACTGTAGGTGACTAGTGTATCTGGCTGTGTTATGTTTTGTGGTCTGTCGCAGAGGTAATGGTGGACTGTGCTTTTTGGGTATCCATTCCTTTTAAAAACTCTGTATAAATGCTCCTGTTCTGCTTTGCTTGTTAGAGAGCTGGATTAAAACAACCCTGAAGAAATTACACAACTCAGGAGATATCAGCAAGTCAGATGACCAAAAAATGAATACAGAGGGATCCAACACACCCTGCCACCCTGCTTCTATGAACTCCCTAAGGTACACAAGCCAGGGGTCCCCCTCAGACTGATTGTCTTACTACCAGGCACGGCAACATATAGACTGGCCAAAGAACTACAGTGGAAACTGAAATGCTTAGTTGACAACACTACCCACTCCATCCACTCCTTCCAAGAATTCCTCAACAGCATCAAGGACACCAGAATAGAAGAGGACGAAATAATGATATCCTTCAACATAACAGCACTACTTACATCCATAAACATTGACCTAGCCAAGAGACAATTGCCGCACAGCTGGACAAATCAGGAAGGCAGGTGCCCCACGACACCAACAGCATTAACAAGGACAGCACCCTGAAACTGCTGGATCTGCGTCTCACGACCCATTTCACCTTCAACGACCATATATTCAAACTAATCAACGGCATACCAATGAGATCCCCAATATCAGGACTGATCGCAGAAACAGTAATGCAAAAGTTAGAACGGACAGCACTCCCTACTATACAACCCAAACTCTGGGTCTGCTATGTAGATGATACCTTCGTGATTATCAAACGCACAAGACCAGAAGAAACCCACTGACGCACAAACAGCATCTTCACTGGAATGAAATTCACAAAAGAAGAGAACAATAACCAGGTACCCTTCCTAGACATAAAGTAGAATGTAAGAACAACAGGAACTCCAGACTAGTGAATACAGAAAGACCACACATATGGACCAGATACTTAATTACACCAGCAACCGGAGCTGCATCAGGACATTATTCAAAGGGCCACAACACACTGCAGCAACCCGGAATCGCACAAAGCAGAACAGGAGCACTTATACAGAGTTTTTAAAAAGGAATGGATACCCAAAACGCACAATTTGCCATTACCTCTGGGACAGACCACAACAAGAAGACCCAACATGGCCAGACATACTAGTCACTCTACCGTATATCAGAGATGACCACAAGACTATTCAGACCCCTAGGTATCAAGGTAGCCCAGAAACCAACAACTACTATGCGACAGCTATTGACTAACATAAAGGATCCCAAACCCACAACTAATAAAACTAATATAATATGTAAAATGCCATGCAAGGACTGTGAGAAACATTGCATAGGCCAAACCAGAAGAAAACTGACAATAAGGATACACAAACACCAACTAGCCACCAAGAGACACGACCAGTTCTCACTGGTCTCAAAACACATGGACAAAGAAGAACACAAATTCAACTGGGACAACATATCCATAAATAGCACCACCCAAACAGAGACATGCCAGGGAATTCCTGGTGGCCTGGCATTCCAACTGGAACTCCATCAACAAACATGTCAATTTGGACCCGATATACAAATCACTGAAGAACAGAACCAGAAGTGATACCAACCTCCAGCAAGCCAAGCCATATAAATCACATGCAGGACAGAACACCAACGCTTCACCAGAGGTGCAATAACAATGTAACCAAGCAGGATGACAAAATGTCTGCAATCAAACACACCGGCTCAGCGAGCAAGTCTACAATCTCATCTCACAACCTGAGCTACAAATCTTCTCAAAAAACTTGAGAGTTCCAGGATTTTGCCCAGTTGTACTGAATGAATGGCAGTTTATTTCCAAGTCAGGCTGGTGAATGGCATGGAGGGGTGCATGCAGAAGACGGTGTTCCCATGTATCTTCTGCTCTCTTCTAGATATTCTCATCATCCTTTTAAATGGTAGTGGTCTAGAGTTTGGAAGGTGGTATCTAAGAAGTCTTTGTGAATTTCTGCAGTGCATCTTGTAAATGGTACACTCTGCCTATTACTGCAGGTCAGGTGGTGGAAGGAGTGGATGTTTGTTAATGTGATGGCAATCAAATGAGCTATTTTAGGACAAACCAGGACTAATGGTGTCAAGCTTTTTGAGTGTTGTTGGAGCTGCAATCATCTAGGCAAGTGGAAAGTATTCCATCATACTCCTGACTTGTGCCTTTCAGATGGTGGACAGGCTTTGGGGAGTCTCTGGTTGGTCTCCAATTGACTTGCTAATGCATGAACAGCACATGCTCAGTCTCAGATTGGCTAGATGGGTCCAATTTATGATTTTATTCTTAAAGGTATGATAATCTTATTGATATCACTTTCAATTATCTTCTGACTACGAGAAACATCAGTTATTTATGGGAACATCCTTTTTCATCTCCCTGTTAATTTACTAAGTTTATAGATTTTAACATTTTGAAAAACATTTGGATAGGTACATGAATAGGATCCACCTCACTAACACCTTCCACCCCAACCTTAAGTTCACCTGGACCATCTTTGATACCTCTCTCTCCTTCCTGGACCTCTCTGTTTCCATCTCTGGCAACCACCTCGAAACCATATCCATTTCAAGCCTACCGACTCCCACAGCTACCTAGAATACACCTTCTCTCACCCACCTTCCTGCAAAAATGCCATCCCCTATTCCCAATTCCTTCGCCTCCGCCGCATCTGCTCCTGAGATGAGGCATTCGACTCCCGGACATCCCAGATGTCCTCGTTTTTCAAGGACCGCAACTTCCCCTCCACAGCGGTCAAAAACGCCCTCGACCGTGTCTCTCGCATTTCCCGCAACTCATCCCTCACAACCCTCCCCGTAACAACAACCAAAACAGAATCCCCCTTGTCCTCACGTACGACCCTACCAACTGCCAGATCCGACGCATCATCCTCCGGCACTTCCGCTATCTGCAATCTGACCCCACTACCAAAGACATTTTTCCCTCCCCACCCTTATCTTCCTTCCGGAGGGACCACTCTCTCTGTGACTCCCTTGTCCGCTCCACACTCCCCACCAGCCCCACCACACCCAGCACTTCTCCCTGCAACTGCAGGAAGTGCTACACCTCCCCCCTCACCCCCATCCCAGGCCCCAAGAAGACCTTCCACATCAAGCAGATTTCACCTGCACATCTGCTAATGTGGTATACTGTATCCGCTGTTCCCAATGTGGCCTCCTCTACATCGGGGAAACCAAGCGGAGGCTTGGAGACTCCTTTGTGGAACACCTACGCTCGGTTCGCGACAAATGACTGCACCTCCCCGTCGCAAACCATTTCAACTCCCCCTCCCACTCCTTGGACGACATGTCCATCCTGGGCCTCCTCCAGTGCCACAACGATGCCATCCGAAGGTTGCAGGCACAGCACCTCATATTTCGCTTGGGAACCCTGCAGCCCAATGGTATCAATGTAGACTTCACAAGCTTCAAAATCTCTCCTCCCCCGACCGCATCCCAAAACCAGCCCAG